TTTTTAATTTTAATATCAAAATGATTTATATAAATAATCATAAAGGTTGGTGTTTTACTTTTTTTTTTGTTATACTAAAAATTTATAACCGATAAAATGTATTATTATATTTAAAACAAAACCTGCATAAACTTAATTAATAAACCAGCAAAACCTTATAGATTATATAAGTTGTATTCTACGCCAAACATTATATATTTTGTTTGCTTTGAAATTATCGGTTTTGACGTCTACACGTATGTGTATTGATGTAGACTCTTGACAAATCGATATCAACCCGTTAATATCATTATGGGATAAATCATGATTTATAATAAATAAATAAATAATATGATGAGAGGTTACATATTTCTCTTTTCCCCTTCTTATCTATACTACATTATAAAGTATTTAACAAAAACTATTAAAAACAATTTTTCATGCATGAAGTACTGTTTATTGATGCACATTACTTAAAATTTAAGATTATAAATAAATTATGCATAAGTACAACTTATTAAAACTTTATGTTTGAATTCGTGTAACTAACTGCGGATAAACATAATCAAATAGATTATAAACATCTTATTTTAAAATATAAAAAATCTAAAATATAATTAAGATAATAATTGAGTTCTAATAGAATACTTAATTATTATCTTAAATAAATTATTTTATTAAACCAAAAATATATTAGTTTATTTTTAAATTTCAGTTAAATTATAATAAAATTTTGAATTAAAGAAATTACACAAAAACAAGAACTTTTAAATAATTAATTTGATATTAATATTGCTTATTTTTTTCAAAATTTTATAATATATTCAAATTTATATTTCATTTAAAAATAAAAACATTTTTTTTTCTCAAAACCACATAAAGTTGCATTATAACATCGATAGACCCAAAATATAAAACGAAACAATAAATCAAGATGTATCTCGCTGCATTGCTCGAGTACCCTTCTAGTAAATGGTAAATAAAATAAAAAGAAATATACTTTTATTTTGAGAAAAACATTTAAAAACCACGTTTAATATTATACAATTTAATAAATGCTTTATAATTAAGACATTTTAAGTTCTAATTAAGCCAAGTCAAAATTAAATGCTATTTTTATAAAACATGCCATGTGTAAAAAAGAGTGGTTTCTTGATTTCTCACCTAATACACACTTCATTGGCTTCAACCTACCCTTTCTTATAAATAACTCTCTCTCTCTCTCTCTCTCTCTCTCTCTCTCTCTCTCTCTATATATATATATATATATATATANTATATATATATATATATATATATATATATATACATATATACATATACATATATATATATATATATATATATACCCTCCACCTCCAGGAAGAGATAGTATAGAGAGGTCTTTGGAGTGTCTGTCTTCCAGAGAAAGATCAAGTTAAGTAAGGTGTTTGAAGGTGGAGAGAGATGGCACAAATATTGCTTCATGGAACACTTCATGTGACAATCTTTGAAGTAGACAAACTCAAGACCAATCTTCTCCACAAGGTTTCTATTCCTTCTCTCTCTCTCTCTCTCTATATATATATATATATATATATAAAGTCAGAACCTTCACAGTGTTTTGATGTGAAGTTTCAAGTGTAAAAATCGTGTCTCACGTATCTCATGAAAACAGTCATGATTTCTAGTATATATATATATATATATATACATATGGGCCTTCCATTCATATATATATTTGAGTCAAGGGTTATTCGTTTTGTTGTAATTCTTATCTAGTTAAGTTGGTTTAACTGGGTTTTTTTTTAAATGTGTGTTTTAAATGATCTTTGCATCCAAAATGTATATTGAACAGAACAATCTTTGTACCGATGCGATGCAATATTGAATGAGTATTGTCGTTTTCGGATTACGTTTTTTATGTTATATACGTTATTGACTTGAATTCGGTTTTAATAAAAAGTAGTGTTTAAAACATATTTTTAGCTTCAAAGTTGGAAAAGAAAACATATATAATGCAATTTGATTTGATTTCAATAATACATTATATAATTCAGGAAACGACAACTGTTTGTGTCGTTTCGTCTATCAAAGTTATTAGGTCTGTTTATTGGTGGGAACTCATGGTACACAATTCCACATCCACTCATAGCATCCATAGGCCCATAACTTTGATTTGAAATGAATTTTACATGAATAGTCATTTAAATTTATCTACTTGTCAAATTTACCCATTTTTTAAATTAGTTAACATGTATAGTCCTTATTACTTGAATCCACTAGAATTCAGTTTCTCTCTTCATTTATGAATAGTCATGAGCAAAGCACATGCTTGTTGTAGACTTCACAAAGTAGATGGATTAGGTAAAGATTAATAAGTGATCATTAAAATAAGAGTAAATGTTTGTTTGTTTACTTTTTAATAGTTCTAGTAAGAGGCAGTCTCTGAATCGTTAAAAAATAAATGTTGTTTGGTAAAAAAAAAGATATGTCTCTTAATCGTTCTAAAATCCTCTGAATGATTTTGCATTATGAGTCTTCCTTAATCATTCAGAACCCTAATTTTATTGTAAATAATTACCAAACAATTATATTTCATTTTGCATTATATCATGAATGTCTCTTAGTCATTCTAACTACTTAATCATTCTGCATCAAACCATTCAGTAACTATCAAACAGCTCCTAAACTACAATAATGATTCTTGAGTGTTACTGAATTTAACTTTTAATAAGTCTGAAAATCATTTTTCGTAGTCGTATTTTACTCTTAAATTAGTCCATCCCACTAACTCCATTAGAAATTGCATGTTAATTAAATAAGAGGCATTTGTCTTTTTACCATTTTTCTATTTTTTTTAATATTATATTATATAAAGGGAGTTTCAAATACAGACCTTCTAATTAGTATAAATCATACAAATCAATTTCAACTGTTCATTTACTCAAATGAATATTTTCTTTCATAAGTATCTTAATTGTTTCATAATTTAAAACGTTAATCATAATGAATGAACTCTTGTCATTTTTCATAAATATCCATATTATAATAAATAAACTATTATTATTTTCACAAATATCTGATTTGATTGATTGGTACTAATTCTAAGGTCTCTCTCTATGCGCACACACACGAATTTGGATATAATTGACATGTTTTTTCTTTCCACGAGAAGCGACTGGACATATTGTATGCACCAATTATACACACACACATATCTATACTATATTATAAAACATTTGACAAAAACTTTTAATAACAATTTTTTATGCATAAATTATTGTTTATTGATGCATACTACTTAAAGTTCAAGATTACAAGTAGAATGTGCACGGGTACATTTTATTAAAGCTCCATGTTTAAGTTTTTATAATTAACTACAGATAAACATAATTAAATACATGACAAACATCATTTTAAATGTAAGAAATCCAAAATATAATTAATTTGATACCAATATCAATTATTTTTTTAAAAATTTTATAATATTTTTAAATTTGTATATAATATTCAAAAATAAAAACATAAAATCGCATTATAATATCGATAGATTCAAAATACAAAACAAAATATTAAAATCGAGATGTATCTCACTGCATTGTACGAGTACCCTTATAGACCCTTCTAGTATGTGTGTGTGTGTGTGTATATATATATATATATAGGGTTGGGTTCACGTGAGACCAAGGGTTTTTCGTGAGACCAATTTATATTCATCGATCAAGTTTATAAGCTAACGATCTAATGGTCTAAAATTGCACGATGGCAATTTTGTAATTATTGAGAAATCTTGAGGCAATTTTATGATTATGAATATTGAGATTGTAGATCTAATCCAACGATTAAGAATTGGTCTTACGGGTCTCACGAAAAAGCTTTAGTCTCATATGATCCCAAGTATATATATATATATATATATATATATATATGGTTCTGTAAAATCCAATTTAAACTGAAAAATTAGTTGAAAAATAAAATCTAATATAAAATAAAAACCTTTGTCATATCTCCACTTCTCTCCTTTTTTTTTTTCCTCTCATCTCTTCATAACATACAATTGCACATATAATTGAACATACACAATATGTGAACACATTATGGACATTTTCTTAAAATTATTATTATAATATGTGAACACATTATAAATCTAGATCTGATATAGTTTATAACATATTATGAACATCAACTACATCAATAAAACAACATCTAAAGATATCAGTTCTAAACACCATGTGAACATTGTAAATACATTATGAACATACTAGTAAAAAAATATCTTAAGTTTTTTTATATTGTGTTCACTACAGTTCATTTTATGCATATATTTAGTTATCTGCATGTGTATGTTAAGAGAGAGGAGGGAGAGAAAGAAAGAAAAAGACTTCTATAATTTTTTTAAATACATTAATTTGTATTTAATAAATAACAATAAATCTTCTTAATTATTTTCTTAATTAATAACATTAATTATCTTAAATTGATGGCTTAGAATAGACACTTCAACTTTAAGTAAACAAAGGTCAAAGTCTATTAGAACATCTCCAATCGAACGGCAAAACCCTAGTTTTGCCGTTCTCTTGGATCCAATCATCCGTTAAAAACACTAAAATTTTGGCGGCGAGTGAAAACGAACGGCATATTTGCCGTGAAGAAGGGGAACGGCAATTTTGCCAAATGGGTGGTTCCCACCACCTTTCTTAAATAATTTTAGTGTTTTTAAATAAATTATAAATAAATAAATAATTACAATATTAAGTTTTAGGTTTTATATTTATTATTTAAATTTAAATATATATATATAGACATGGGATCATGTGAGACCAATGGTTTTTCGTAAGATCCGTAAGACCAATTCACAACCTTTGGATTAGATCTATATATATAGGTTAAAGAAAGAAAAAACATATAGGTCAAAAATACCCCTACAAGTTTAAAGTTTAATGCTAAATTTTAACCATTGGATCATTAGCTTATAAAGTTGATCAATGAACATAAATTGGTCTTACGGGTCTCACAAAAAACCCTTGGTCTCACGTGAACCCAACCCTATATATATATATATATATATATATATATATAAAATAAATTATTAATAACACAAATATAAAATTTATTAATTACAATTTTATCGTTTTTATTTTAACATTTCTTCATTAAATAAATTAATTACTAATTATTTATTATTATAATATCTATTACAAATTATAAATATTGTTATTAAAAATAATAAATAAAATATGTTATTTTAATATGAGGTCCACAAATTTAGTGTTTTTTTTAGAGTGTGATTGGAGTTGAGTTTTTTTTTGTTTATGGACCCACCAAATTTGGTATTTTTAGTGTTTTTTTTAGCGTGAAGGTTGGAGTTGCCTTTACTAGCTTTATGATACGTTATTTTCGGAAACATAAAAGAGGATCTGTATTATTTTACATAAATTTAATAAGAAAAAAATTACTAAATAATAATTTATACATATTTCAATTATATTTATAATTCGGTCATTTGATATTATAAATCATCATTAAAAACCATTTAACATTCTAAAACTTATTTAAAAGCATTTGGACTTTATCGAAATATTATTTCTTTAATAAAAAGTAATGATTTAAAACGCATTAAGGAAATTAAAATTAAAATTAAAATTACAATAGAAATATTTTATTATTTTACTACAATTTGTTCATGATTATAATATTTTTTTTTCTTTCAATAATAATAGTGATTTAATAATAATAATAATAATATATCACAAGTTTTATTAGCCGCCACAAGTTTTATTAGCCGCCTCATAAATCACAATGCTTCAAGACTCACCAACCACGTACTTTACATACTACAATAAGTAAATAAATAACTATCCAACACTTGTACTACATTGAAAATGAGTTATTAAAAAAAAACGTATAAAAGTATAAAAAAATAAACTTTATCTGGTATCTTTATCTTTATCCCTTAAATTCTGTTATTATCATCGAAGATTTTTATGTCAGTGCGTTAGTTATCGATAATAATATGATGATACCGTGATAATGATCTGATTTTGCTATATCATAATGTGATAATGATTTGATAAATTGAAGATTGTTTATGACGTGATTTTGATGTGATAATCATCGGATAATTATGGATTTTTGTTGTGATATCGATGTGATAATCGAAAATCAATTATGATCATGTCTACATTAATCGACTTCTTTGTTCATTATGTAATTTTATTGTGATAATTATTTGATACTGGTTATCACATTATCTGTATGTGATTTTAGAGATAAATACGAAATTAATCACATGATTATCCTTAATTAATTACTTTATTTTTTTAATTTTAATTGTGTGTTAAATGTTTGGAAGCCCATAAATATTCTCACATTCTCGTAAAACAGAAATAATCTCGTTTGAACTTTTCCGTGAGACCATTTTTTTACACTTGAAATTTTACAGCAAAACGTTGTGAAGGTAATCTTTACTGTGTGTTTTGTTGTGAAAGTTCAAGTTTTTTTTTTACCTTCACAGAGTTTGCTGTGAAGTTTCAAATGCAAAAAAGTGGTCTCACGAAAACAGGTTGGTCTCACGTGAACCCAACCCTATATATATATGTAGAGGCCTAATCAGATAAGAATTGTTTTGTTTGTGATAACCATGAGATCCAATCTCAACCACAAATCAAAGGTTAAATTAGAAAATTAATAATTTTAGTAATTTTAATTTAAAATATTAATTAACCGCATTTTAGGAATTTTATAAATATCCTCTCTCCTCTTTCCTCTCTCCGACGAATCTTATTCGGCGGATCTTATTCCGATTAACCTTATGTAAACACAAAATACACACTGTAATACCTACAAACGATATTTACTGTGATACCCAAATATACATACAAAATGCACAATCTGATACCCTTTGTAAAACAATGGAAATAACGAAAATGTACGCTATGATACATTTCATAAAACAAAGAAAATACATTGTGAACATTATCACTAAGATACATTTTGATTCACAAACGTATTCAAAATACATATGTGTATTAGGTAATTGATATACTATGTAACTAATTTAGTTAAATATTTTCTTTTAAAAAATTTAATTCCATATTTTGATTAGTTGTCAAAAATAGAATTACTATATTATATTTTTAGTTTATTTAAGAAATATCCTTAAATATTTCAAACGAGTTGTTTAAATTGGATTTTACGGTATCACAAACTAATGAGTTTTTCTTTGATATATATATATATATATATATATATATATATATATATATATATTCATACAAAACCTACAAAAATAATAGATTTTTTATTTAATAAATAAGTTCGTGATCTTTTATTTTGTGTAGATCGTAGACGGACTAGAGCATATTGTGGGGTTAAAGAACAACGCTGCAAGCCTTTATGCAACTATAGACTTGGAAAAGGCTCGAGTGGGCCGAACCCGGATGCTGGAACACGACTCGAACCCACGATGGTATGAGTCGTTCCATATTTACTGTGCCCACATGGCTTCAAAAGTTGTCTTCACTATCAAAGAAGACGACCCAATAGGTGCAACCGTATTGGGTCGTGCCTATATTCCGGTTCCAAGACTCTTGAACCAAGAAGTTATCGACGAATGGCTCGAAATCGTCGATGATCGTGGTAAGAAGGTACACGGGCATCCAAAAGTCCACGTTAAGGTCCAATTTTTTGAAGTCGTTCAAGAATGCCAGTGGTCTCGAGGTATACAGAGCGAAAAGTTTCCCGGGGTTCCGTTTACGTTTTTCCCGCAAAGAAACGGGTGTAAAGTTACACTTTATCAGGACGCACACCTACCTGGAAATTTCACCCCGAGAATACCACTATGTGGAGGCAAGTATTATGAACCTCACGGATGCTGGGAGGACATATTTGATGCCATTTCGAACGCGAAACACTTGATTTACATAACCGGATGGTCGGTTTACACTGAAATCACTTTGATCAGGGATTTGAGGAGGCCGAAGCCCGGTGGGGATATAACGCTTGGTGAGTTGCTTAAGAAAAAGGCTAGTGAAGGTGTTCGGGTGCTAATGCTCGTTTGGGATGATATGACTTCGGGTGGTTTGTTTAAGAACGGGTTCATGGCGACCCACGATGAGGACACAGGAAACTACTTCCGTGGATCGGAAGTCAACTGTGTCCTATGTCCTCGTAACCCTGATGACGGAAGGAGTCTCATCCAAAATATCCAGATCTCGGCGATGATGACTCATCACCAAAAGATTGTGGTTGTCGATAGCGGGTTGCCAAATGGCAACAACGAGAAACGACGAATTGTCAGTTTCATAGGCGGAATCGATCTTTGCAATGGAAGATATGACACCCCGTTCCATTCTCTTTTCCGAACGCTCGATACTGTCCACCACGACGATTTCCACCAACCAAACTTCACGAATTCGTCAGTTAAGAAAGGCGGACCTCGGGAGCCGTGGCATGACATCCATTGCAAGCTCGAAGGTCCAATCGCGTGGGACGTGTTGTTCAATTTCGAGCAACGTTGGTTGAAGCAAGGGGGGAAGGATTTACTCAACGACATTCGAGATCTCGATCACATCATAATCCCGCCATCTCCGGTCAAGCTGCCGCATGACCATGAAGCATGGAACGTTCAGTTGTTCCGATCTATAGACGGTGGAGCTGCATTTGGTTTCCCTGAAAAACCCGAAGATGCAGCTCGTGCCGGTTTGATTAGCGGAAAAGATAACATAATCGACCGGAGCATTCAGGACGGTTACATCAACGCCATCCGTCGAGCGAAGAACTTCATTTATATTGAAAACCAATATTTCCTCGGGAGCTCATTCGACTGGAACTCGAACGACATCAAAGACGAAGACATCGCTGCGTTACATTTAATCCCGAAAGAACTTTCGCTCAAAATCGTGAGCAAAATCGAAGCTGGTGAGGACTTCAGGGTGTACATCGTGTTGCCAATGTGGCCGGAGGGTGAACCGGAAAGTGCATCGGTGCAGGCCATACTAGATTGGCAGAGAAGAACCATGAAGATGATGTACACCGATATCGTTCATGCCCTCAAAGTGAAACGCATCGTCGCCGACCCAAAGAACTATTTGACCTTCTTTTGTCTCGGAAACCGGGAAATCAAGAAAGACGGCGAGTATATACCTTCGGAGAAGCCGGAAAACGGTAGTAACTACAGTCGAGCTCAAGAAGCACGACGGTTCATGATATATGTGCATGCCAAAATGATGATCGGTAACTTTTGATCCCCTTTAATCGAATCCAAATTTTTTGCAATTTTGATGAGAATTAAATCAAGTGAAACTTTGATTAAGCGAAATTATCGATGATTTTGCAGTTGATGATGAGTACATGATCGTTGGATCGGCGAACATCAACCAAAGATCGATGGACGGAGCTCGAGATTCCGAGATAGCAATGGGGGCGTTTCAACCTTGCCACCTATCAAAACGACGACCGGCGAGGGGGCAGATTCATGGGTTCCGAATGTCGTTGTGGTATGAACATATGGGGTTTCTTGACGACTGTTTTTTATGCCCTGAGAGCTTGAATTGCATCAGAAAGGTGAACCAGATATCGATGAAATATTGGGATCTGTATTGTTCGGAGAAGTTGGAGCATGATTTGCCGGGGCATTTGTTGAGTTATCCGGTGGCGGTGACGGAGGACGGAGATGTGACGGAGCTGCCCGGGACGGAGTTCTTCCCGGACACGAAGGCTAGGGTTCTTGGTAACTTGGTTGGTTATTTGCCTCCGATTCTAACCACTTGAGACAAAAGGGTTACAAGAAAGACAAAATTACCCTTCCATGGAACAAGAAACTACAAGGGTTGTTATGAGTTTTGTATATGTTTATGGGATTTTTTTTGTAATTTTAATCCCCCTCGAAATAACAATTGCAAATCATAAAAATAAAAAATAAATGTAATTTTAAAAATACAACAACAAAAGTTGCAAACCACAAGGGTGATGTCTGGTTGGTTTGAGTTTGGCTTCAAATGTCAAAAGTATCTGGAAGTCTCAGGTTTAAATCCAATGAGAAATAAAAATCCCCTTGTGGTCACGGAGGTTCAAATGCGGTGACTTCGGGCTATCTACAAAACCAGTGGTCGCCTTGAAATTAGTCGGCTAGCATAACGGGTTGGATATTCAGGTTAATAAAAAAAAGTTGCAATTTTTAACAAATCATATTTCACTGTTAACAATTAATGAAGAAATATGAATTTTTAGTTGTTTTGTTGGAAATTGGTTGTTGACGGCTGAATGTTTTGTAACGGGTTTAATCAGATTGATGTGAAAAACTATAAAAATTGATCATTTCTCTCAATCGATCCTTACCAAATTGATCCTCACCTTTCGACACTTTGTGACCTTCAAACGTTAGCATTCTGAACATCATGAGAGTCATTATATAGTTCAAATTTGATCAAACAAAAAGCGTTAAAACGTGAAAGCAATATCATAACTTAGTATTCTCTTTACAGAAAACAAAACGTCTCTTCACGAGTTCGACATTTCCATAGTAATTGGGGTCAAAATGACTCCTGAAATCCAAGAAACAATTTTTACGAGCTACTCGCCATGAAAACGTCATACCCCTTGTCCATTAACAATCCCTAAGCGACAACGTCGCCTCCAACCTCTCGTTGAACCTAGGACTTCTTAGGCTAGCTGGAGATGGAACTCACACACTCGATCTTGAAGGTTGCCACTTTTGATTCATGAATATGACATAAACAAATGATAAAATACATTACAACAACATTTTATTTATAAGACGACTAAAATGTCCAAACGTTCTAATAGATTACTTTATAGGACTAAATAAGAAATGTCTTGTATAAAAGTGTTACAATATGTCCATTAAGAGTGTTCGTGGTGCGGTTTGGGGTCAAACTGCAAACCGCACTTTGAGCATTTTCCCAAACCGCAAACCGCACTGCATAAACCTCAAACCACACTGTAAAATACGGTGCGAGTTATGCAGTTTGTACCTATCGTACTGTATGTCTATAGTTCAATAATTATAAGTTTAAAAATACATTATAAAATCAATGATAAAGTGACTGTAGTTTAAAAAAAATAAAGAGTTCCAGTATATTCAATTCACAAATACATATTGCATAATTAAAAGTAGTCTAAGAAGTTGAGAAATAAACTTCAAACTAAATTGGACATGTGAATTGTAACGTGTCCAACTAATTTATTATTATTGTCAATTGTTATATTGGATCAAACTCAGGGTTCAAAACATAAAATCTAAATATATTTCATAAATAATAAATTATTCTATATATGTATGTGTGTGTTATAAATAAAATTAAAAGATGTACAAAATATGCAGCACGGTGCGGTTTGAACCGCAGTTTGATAACTCAAAATTGCAAATCGCACCGCATATTGGGGTTCGGTAAAAATACAAATACACCGCAAAAGTTTTATGCGGTGTAGTATGGGCGGTTTGTGCGGTTTGGATGAACGCCCCTAATGTCCATAAGATGATTTTGGATGCTTAACACGTTTTTAGGGTTCTTTTAAGATAAAGTGTCATATTAGTTATTTGAAAAGTGTTATAACAAAAAATTAGTTTATAGGAAACTACTTAAAATTGTCTTATAAAAAAACTACTATGATACTTTGTTTTAAAAGTGTTCGAAAAACTTGTCAAAACGTTGAAAATGTCTTATAAAATTTACCATAACACTTTTATATGTTATATGTATATGTACGTATGTATACTAGTTGTGTACCCGTGTAATACGGCGGGGTGTCAAATTTTCAAATAAACCTAGAACTAAAAATAAGTGCAACTATTCATTAAAAAATACAAAATTTATATTTAAACATTCGATGTTACAGGGGAACCCTTAAAAAATATTTAAACCTCGATTTTTTATAGTTGAGTACCCGTGCGATGCAACATGATGTAATCAAGTACAATGTAACAAATAAAAAATCAATGGTGTGAAGATACCAAAAAAAAACTCTTAATAAGAAAGGAAAAAAAACTGGAAAGAAATAAAGCAAAGTTGTAAGTTTCAACTTTGATATTATTGGTGGTGTGCATCAACAAGTGTACTTTATGCATGTGAAATTATAATTAAGAGATTTTTTGAAATTTATATATAAAAGGATAATAGTTTAGATTTTTGTATGACAAGTGGGTAGGGGCACATTTAATATGTTGAGCACAAAAGAACCAAAGCTAAGAATATGCCCTTATCCTCCTCCTTTTTCCTTGGTTGCTTTTAAAAAGCCATCTCACTTTGAGAATTTGTCAGCATAAAAGCATCTTTCAACATATGCTCTTCTATCCCTACACCTCACATTAGGGGTGAGCATAGGTGGGTACCCATCCTTTTTGATAGGAACCGGAATCGAAATCGGAACCGATGGTTCTTGAGATATTGGAACCGGTTAGAACGGTTCTTAAATTTTTGGAACCGGAACCGGAACCGCCGGGAACCGGTTCCGGGTATCCGCTTCCTAAAATATTAAAATTTTATTATTTAGAAATAAAAAATAAAACATTGCCAAAACACTAAATAAATAAACAAGAATACAAATTATACAGAATCATGGTTACAAATATTGTTTAACGATTACAAATCATAATAGACTAATAGAAAATGTTCAAAGTTTAATGATTACATACTATAATGGAAAATGTTCAAAGTTTAACGATTACATACTATGAATCCAAGTGAACACACAATTTGAAAAAATACGAATCATTCTATATGAAGAATTTAGATGAAGAATGAAGATGACGGCGTGCTTTCAAGATGTAAACCTAATATAAATTTGGTATTAAAAAATAATTATTATTTTTTTATTGAAAAATATCGGGTACCCGGCAGGTAACGGTTCCGAAAAATTGAGAACCGGAACCGGAACCATTCTCAATCGGTTCCGTATTTTAGGAACCGGAACCGGAACCACTCATATCGGTTCCGGTTCCGGAACCGGCAGTTCCAAGGCGGTTCCGGTTCCGGTTCCATAGCCGGGTACCCTGTTCCGCTGCTCACCCCTACCTCACATCCATTACATTTTTTGATTTTTTATTTTACATTTTTTGGTTTTTTATAAAACATTAATTACGTCTACATGCTATTAACATTTTACGTGAATCTCACACCGAAATTCTGAACGATTCATGTAAATACGTGCTTTTCACAAAATTTGTTAACCTGTCGATAACATATATCACATACGATGATCATTAAAAATGAGATATATCTTCCTGATTCAATATCGATAATCATGCGATCAGTTAAAGGTCATTTACGTGATCAGTTAAATATCTCATTCAATAATATATAGAAAACACATATCTTTATGTATAGTTTTTATATATGATGTACGTATTTGTCGTCTAACGCCACGTCTTGAAAAACGTCGTGCATTTATAGTGGCTGTACAACAAGCCTCGACGCCACACCATCCTTATATAATTTTATAATATTAATTAAAATACGTTAAGTTTTGTTCCCAATATCGTGTACCAATCAATTGTAATTGGTACGAAAAATCTTATACCGTATACCAACCAACTATACTTGGTACTAACCGTTTTTAGGTGGTACATGTTGATACTGATTTTGTATCAACTTCAAGTTACATATATAAAAACTTGTCATTTATAATTTTTTAGTGACATTTTGATCTTTAAGGTAGCGAATGGGATGCCTAAGGGTCTTAATTGTAACGAAAAAACTTGCAAATATTCAAATATTTAAACAAAATAAATAAATAATATTTAGTACATAAAAATATAAAAAACTAATAAATAATTAAACAACTCGATATTATGATATTACTGTGTTACATGACTTCTGATATCGTATACCAATCAAATTTACATGTTTGACACAGGATTAATATACTACCAACTAATTATAATCGATACGAGTTTGATTGATATTGGTAAGGGTGCTGATGGGTTGGATTGATCGGGTTGAAAACATTTGAATAACTCAACTCAATGCTTACAGTTTGAAAAATCTTAACTCAACCCAAACCAAAATGCAATCCAACCAAACCCAACCCGTACGGTTGGTCGGTTTGATACTTTGATACATTAAAATATTCTTTTAACATTGAATATGTTATTTTTCTACTCATAATTTCTTTTTTATCATCAACCATTTGATACAACTTATCAATATTTCTTACGTATATCACATTCAGTTAATTTTTCTCAATTTACATATATATGTTCACAGTTACTGAACATATATACGAATAAGTTATATAGAGATGTGAATAGATTGAAAATATATGTATATGAAGAGCATACATGATAGTGTAATCGTATAATGTATATATTAATAAAAATTCAACAATCATATTAAATCCAAAAAATAAAATATCGGGTTCATCGGGTTGAGTTGGATTCAAATAATAGTAACACAATATCAATCCAACACCTATAGTTTGACAATTTTACAAATCGATTAAATATCGAATTGCTTCGAATTAAATTATTTCACGTCGGATTGATGAGGTTGATCGAATTTTTGAACAGCAGGCTCATGATTTTAGTTTTAGGAAGGATTGGAAACACGTGGACGTGTAGGAACACCTTTTTAATGTGAGAAAATGAAGTAGCTTCAAGTTCAAGCCACCACCGCCATTTTCTCTCTCTCTTACCGGAGGAATAAAACCCGAAATATTCTCCAGAATATGCCCATTCCCTCCTCCGCATATTCTCCACCCTCCTTCCTTCCCACGTTATAATTCATCCTCCGTCTCCCCTCTCTCCTCCTCCTCCTCCTCCTCCTCCGCCTCCCTCCTCCACGTACCAACAATTCAAAATGAAATTCGGAAAGAGTTTAAGCAATCAGATCGAAGAAACTTTGCCTGAATGGAGAGACAAGTTCTTGTCTTACAAAGAACTCAAGAAACGGTTGAAGCTTATTACACCACCAGACAAATCCCTCGATGACTGTAATAGGCCACCCAAGAGGCCTCGGGTTTCCTGCCAAGACTGTACCGTCGTCGCTTGTGTTGGTGATGAAAAGATGTCCAGAGAAGAGGTTGATTTCGTTGAGTTGTTGGAGCAGGAAGTTGAGAAATTCAATTCCTTCTTCGTTGAGAAAGAGGAAGAGTACATCATCAAACTCAAGGTATTAAATCTGGATTCCAATTTTGTTTCTGAATTACTAATTAGATCTGTTACATTTAGTAATTTAGGGATGAATTGAACTTTTATGCCATGACTCTCTCGAATTCAGACATCTAGAACATATCTTAATTTGATTCATTAGGCCATTCACTCGTATGTTTGAATACACAATTTCTGATGCACAATATGAACATGACAATGCAAGATGTTGGGTCCATGGTTTTGGAGAAGACAAAACAATAAACAAAAATCATCCGCTTGTTGCCACTCTAGCTACTATGTATCCGTTTAAACAAATTAAGGATATAGGGTATATTTACATATGAATATGTATATGTCTCCTGTTACTCTGATTTCTTCAACCAGTTCAACAATAGGAAAAATTATTTAATGACACACACATTACACATACTAAGATGGTAGAACTCTTAAGGGTATCATGCTGTTACTTTTACTTAGTGTGTTATATCAATCATAGTGCTTCCTCTTTTGCAATCATTATCTTAATTTTATTTCTGTTTATTTGTCTCTGTTTACACTTTTGCAAGTTGTGGTGTTTTTGATAAACAGGAAAGACTATAACTTTCCCTTGCATATCCAATATCTCGTATCAAAGTCAGTTTGTGATCAGTAATTTAGGAATTAAGTCAACATTGTATGGATGCTTAATATACCACAATCCAAGAATTGCATCCTTAAAACGTCCAACTAAGGGGCTGTTTACCTAAATGCTTACCCGGTAAGTGTTTACCATTAGGAGTCAAACACTGTAATTTATTTTACCGGATAAGATTGTAGTACATTAAAATGGTATCTTAAGCAACAATTTACCCGGTAAGCGCTTACCCGGGTAAGAGTCCTCATCCTCACTTACCAAATAAGGCTCTTCATCTTTATCGATGTACCGGGTAAGATTTTTGACCCTTGTCATGTTCATCCGGTAAGGAAAATTGCCCGATAAGCACTTACTGGGTAAGCGTTTAGTAAACGGCCCCTAAGGCTTGAGGCTTGAGCAAGGGATAAAAATATTCCTATTTCTTACAATATTTAATTTCCCTTGTCTAGTATCATCTTATCAAAATCTGATGTGGGTATGTAAGATTTTCATGTTAGTTATCAAGATATTGCCAAACGACATTTCAGAGATTTGACTAATACTAAATTGAGTGATCGAATATTATGTATTTTCAATTGGACAAATTGAAAAGGGGGGCTTGACTTTGGTCTCTAGTGGTTTTGTCTTGTAGAAAGATAATTTATTCTTTGAACCACAAAAGAACAGCCCTTCAATACCATGAAGTGGTGGATATATATACCTTGTCCATTCCATAGAGGGTCAACTTTAAAAGTCAAAACATGAAATTTAAGTCATATTTTCTTTACCTTTTTGGTTAAGAACTCATGGATTAGTCAAGCTCGTGTTTGATCTTTGTAAATTGACCATGTTTATTTTTGGTTTTGCCCTGCAGGAATTGCAGGATAGTGTGATGAAAGCCAAGGATTCAAATGAAGAGATGATTAAGATACGAAAAGAAATAGTTGATTTCCATGGAGAGATGGTTTTGTTAGAGAATTATAGCGCTCTTAACTATACAGGTTGCTTATCTTTCTTAAGAGTGTGAAAGAAATTATCAGTTTGAAGTTAAATTCTCGTTCTTGACCATCGGAATTTTGCTTCTAACAGGAATAGTGAAGATACTGAAGAAGTATGATAAAAGAACTGGAGCTCTCCTCCGTTTACCTTTCATTCAAAAAGTTTTACAACAACCATTCTTCACCACAGACTTGCTATACAAGCTAGTGAAGGAGTGTGAGGCGATGCTAGACCGCCATTTCCCTCTAACTGATCTGTCAGCTCCATCTGATGAAGCTGGAGGTGATGCTAGTGGTGGCGGTGGCGGCGGCGGCGGTGGAGACGACATGGGACCTAGCACCAGTGCAGCCACCTGTGAAGGACCAGTAAAAGCTAAAGAACTTGCTGAGCTCGAGTACATGAAGAGCTTGTACACAAAGAGCACCATTTCAGCTTTGAGGGCTTTGAAAGAAATCCGAAGCAAGAGCTCCACGGTTAGTGTGTTCTCGTTGCCACCTTTGCAAGTTAGTGGAATAGAGGAAACTTGGAATAAGCTTCCTCTTCATGAGCAACTAGCAAAATAGCATGTGTTTTAGGGTCAATCGTTGCTTCGAACACGAATTCTATTTTTACATGTTTTAAGCGGATGCACAAATCGCGTGCTTCGTTTTTAGATGCTAGCTATGGTTGTAATATACTTGGATAATGATAATTAATTAACAACACAAGTTTTGTACCTTCTGTCTTCCCTTTTCTACCCTTGAAGACTATCCTTGTTTAGGGTGTTGTAAAGGTTAATGATTGTAATCAAAGATGGTATTTTCAAGTTTCAACTATGAAGCATTCCACTTTAAGGGCAAGTTTGTGCTGTTGTTCCTAGGGGATTTAAGATCGTCTATGCTTTGGTTTTCATTTTGATGGGCCTGGTAATGGGCTGAATTGAAGGGGTTTAAGATTGTCTATCCTTTGGTTTTTATTTTGAGATGGGCCCAGTAATGGGTAGGACTGAAAACACTTGGTCCCCGACAAATAGAAATAATGGGCTGGATTGAATCAACCTATGGGTAAACACCCGCAAATAGAATGGATGCATGATGTTAATCCTTGGGTGAAGAAGGCTCGTGTGAGAATAGGAGTTAAGGTGAGAAGCGTAAGATGGGATCTGAACCCTTGCTCACTTTTAATATCGCCCTCACCCCATGAACTGCCCTTGATATAGGAATTAAACTGGTGCATATTGGTGCATCTTATTACTGTTGATCTTCGATTAGGATTGATCCAAGGGTGGAGTCCCTTCCTACCCTTCTCACCATAACTTCCATTTTCACCGGAACCCAACCCATCTTGGGTATACTGATAGTTAAATGATGCAAAAAGATTGTCTTGAAATTAATTAAAACATACAGATAGACCCTTGTAGGACAGGACTGGACAGTCAAGAGTGAGGTAGGCAGGTGAAAGAATTGTGGAAGGTTTAAGGGTCTTGATTTGACGTGGGTAGTTTAATAATTTGTCAATCTTGTCTCATCTTCCTTATTTGTTTCACTAACTTTGGTGGGGTAGAAGGGCATTTTTATTCCACTCTGGTCTTGTTACAGTCTAATATCGCACAAACATGAGACAAGTTTTTGTATTGTTCCATCCTATCCCACATACCAAACGTACCTTTGGGCAACCTGCATCGACTGGTCGCTTGGAACAAAAAGTACCCCTGATTCTGGAGTACTTGAAACAATGATGGGAGCCTGTATGGACAATGTAACATTATATTTCTGACTCGGCTTGTTAGAAATTGGCATTCTTGGCTTGAACATAATCCCCTGCATACCCTACAGTATCAAGAATTGAGATCATCATGCAAGCTGATCCATGAATTCACTAAGACCTCAAAAAAGCTAATGTGAACTCATTGACAATTGCTAGAAAACAAATCACCAAAAGAAGTTAAATACCGCGTAAATGGAACTAAAAGCTTCCATTACATGATCAAGAAAAGACACTAATCTGTATTATCCTATTCCTTGTCTTTTCCTTTTTCTACATTTATTGGTTCGATGAGTCGAGCTCCACTTATATTGAACAAGAATTTCTATTCTTTAGTACCATCAAAATCGACCCAACTACTTAGCTATGACTCTATATATATATCCTATTAGATGCAACCATCTTATATTCAGAAATGGAGATTACTTTGCTAATCATCGTTAGTTTGAGTTTATTCTTAATCCCAGTTGCTAAATCTCAAGGAGGATTGAAATCAGGCTTTTACTCTTCTACATGTCCCAAAGCTGAAGCTACTGTGAGGTCTACTGTTGAAACACACTTCAAGAATGATCCTACTGTTGCTGCTGGCATTCTCAGGCTTCATTTTCATGATTGCTTTGTTGAGGTACCAAATTACTGAAAAGGGTGTTTTTGGAATAAACAAAGTTTTGAACTTTATTAATGGGGTGTGTTTTTGTAGGGTTGTGATGGCTCAATCTTGATCAAGGGTCGTTCTGCTGAGATCAATGCATTGCCTAATCTTGGATTAAGAGGATTTGAAGTTATCAATGATGCTAAAACACAGTTGGAAGCGTTGTGCCCTGGTGTGGTTTCTTGTGCTGATATTCTGGCATTGGCTGCTCGTGATTCGGTTGATCTGGTATTCTCTTTCCCTGATTGCTATATATATATACATACATATACGTATATATACATCTCATGCCGACCCATGAACTACGCTCTAGAAGGGAATTGATCCGGTGCATCTCAGTGTACCTCATTAGTGTTGACATTCAATTAGGATCGATACAAGGGTGGAGATCTCTTCTTACGCATCTCATCATAACTTTCCTTCTCACCGGAATCCAACCCTATATCCATATACATATATATTTGAAGTATATATAATACTTAGACAGCAAAACCCACACAATCTCCTCACTTTGGTGGGACTTGAACCTCTGACCTCCAGGAATCTTTTTTTAGTTAAGTGTAACTCATGTCTAACGTGCTTTCTGTCATGTGTCCTAGAGTAATGGTCCAAATTGGGCGGTGCCAACAGGGAGACGAGATGGTAGAGTCTCGTCATCATCCAAAGCTTCAAACTTACCGTCACCTTTAGATTCTGTCGATACCCAGAGGCAGAAGTTTGCAGACAAAGGCCTTGATGATCAGGATCTAGTGACGCTAGCTGGTACGTTCTTGATCCCTTCAAACTTACCAATACCATCTTCGTAACTTTGATCGTTTGCAAAAAGAACTAGCAGATGTTTTCAAAATACTACCCGAACAACCACAAAATACGTACTTATTGAAAATAAAAGTGTTTATGCGAGTAGCAATTATAATAATCCTTCAAAAAATCACGTCAAGAATCATTATTTTGCTACTCTCGAAGTTCTCTAGGCGATTTTATCTTTCACAAACCGTGTATTATGGTCGTTTTGACGGTATTCTAATAAGGGTATGTTCGGTATACGGGACAATACATGATAGGGCAGAACAAAAACTTGTTGTCCACTTTTGGTGCGACAATTAATTGAGACTTGACAAGACTGAGTAAATTACTGATCGAGTGTTGGATGTATTTTGCACGACTATGGATGCATTGAGGACCAAATTTGTGATGTAGGTGCCCATACGATAGGCCAAACCGATTGCAGATTCTTTAGATACCGTCTATACAACTTCACGACAACCGGGAATTCAGACCCGTCCCTGAGCCAATCGGCTCTGACCAACTTCCAGACCCTGTGTCCAAAGAGCAGTAGTGGCACAGAACAGGTGGCTTTGGACAAGGACAGCCCGATGAAATTTGACGTGAGCTATTTCAAGAACGTGCGTGATGGGAACGGTGTTTTGGAGTCAGATCAGAGATTATGGGGCGACCCTGCGACTCGTGACATAGTGCAAAACTACGCGGGAAGAATAAGAGGGTTGTTGGGTCTTAGATTCGATTACGAGTTCAAAAAATCCATGATCAAGATGAGTAGCATTGAAGTGAAAACGGGTGCACAAGGAGAAATTAGAAAAGTCTGTTCTAGGTTCAACTAAATAAAGGGTAATTTAGTCATTTTATGGAAGTGTAACAGTTTGTATGTAAACCCTGAAGTGTTTTATGGATAACTGTTTCAAGGGCATGTTATTATGGAAGCTGTCATTGTGTTTTGTTACATTAGACTTGGATATAAAATATGCATGTGTGTATGTATATATATATATGTGTATATATATATGTATATGTATATATATATGTGTATATATATATATGTATATGTATATATATGTGTATATATATATATGTATATGTATATATATAGGCTGGTTCAAATATTAACTAAGATTATCGTGTTAACTTTGTTAACCGATCTTGGTCGTTGATTTGAATATCTAACGGTTGTGGTTTAATGAGAATAAGAATTTAATTATTTAATTAATATATTAATTAATAATATGTGAACAATGGATTCACATGGTCAAAATGTAAAAAGGCTTTCACATGAATCACAGAGCCTGATCATATGTTCATGTGAACGCATTGTGCATATGTATCGATATGAACGACATGACATACTACTCAAAAATCATGTTCATATTCATGTGATGTAGTTGTGTATATGTATCGATATCCACATATTCTGCCTTTGCTATGTGTTCATATGTTGTGTGTGTCCTTATGTCATGTGTGCCAATATGAAAACCTAATGCATTTTATACAACTGAACACTAATGAATCATAACATCTATATCTATTTGATTTGTGCAGTTTCATATGTGTTAATGTGTGTCCATATCTTTTATAATCTGTTCATATATGTTTCTCTATCAACTAAATTAATCCCTAAACATATGAGTACCAGAATGTGCATCAGATTTTTCAACGAATTCAACTATGTTTGCAAGGTATTTAATGGTTCACAACGGTAATAGCTGTTCATTTAAACAAAATAAATATCATACTAATCACTTACCAATAGGAACGCTTTGATCATCTTCTTCATCATCGGAATTCGAATTTCGACCGTAGTCGTATCCGATTTTAACTTTGTCATTTCCATTGTTATCAATATGATTTATAATAGTATTATTCATATTACTCGGACGATACGGAAATCTTTTACACTTACAAAATTAATATCATTATATGTAAATCATCACTTGAAATCACGATCATGAACACAAATGAAGATAAAAATCAAAATTACCTAATGATTAATTAGATGGATCTTTAAGATTTGTAACTCCCAATTAATTATTAGGGAGTTACATAAAGGTCAAATTACATAATCACTCTTGTATTTAATTTATAAGTTACATTTGAACATAAAGTAAAAAAAGAATATGATTGGTTAGTCTTGGTTAGTATAGTTAACACAAATTTATTGGTTAGTATTTGAACCAACCTCTCTCTCTCTCTCTTTCTCTCTCTCTCTCTCTCTATATATATATATATATATATCTATACACCTAATAAATAAGTAACTTGGGTGACACATGTCATCTTCTGGTGAGTCGATTATCTTGTTTCCCCACCTAAATACGTATCAAGACACAATTTATATTAGTGGTTCAAATAGGCCTATTTGGTTAACATATGTCCCTCTAAAAATGTATCCTTTTTTTATCGTGGTTTAACTGATTTCCCTACTAAACGGGATTTAGTTCAGACTAATTTTCTTCAGCTAATTTGACAACTTATTGCTGACAGCCTTCAGCTAATCTGATAGTTTATTACTGACAGCCTTCAGCTTGTATTTTCAGCTTATCGTGATAGCTTTTAGCTTATCGCTGACAGCTTATCACGGACAGTCTTCAGCTAATCTAACAGGTTATTGCTAATAGCCTTCAGCTAATCTGAGAGGTTATTGCTGACAGCCTTCAGCTTTCAGCTTATCGTTGACAACTTATCACTGACAGCCTTCAACTAATCTGATAGGTTATTGCTGACAAGCTTCAACTAATCTGACAAGTTATTGCTGACAATCTTCAGCTTTCAGCTTATCACTGACAGCTTTCAACTAATCTGACAGGTTATTGCTGACAGCCTTCAGCTTGTGTTTTCAGCTTTTCGTGGCAGCTTTCAGCTATCACTGAAGAGACAGCTTTCAGCTTATCGTGACAGCTTTCAGCTATCACTTGCTGATGTTGTCAAGGAGTTCTGTAAGATGAGTTTTGTTGATTAACATGCCGGCTATAAAAAGGTTTTTTTTGCCAAAAATATGTCTATATTTGTTCAAAATAACACATTTAATTTTATTCTAGAGTTAACTTCATTTTAACTAATTATTAATATAGTTTCATTTATAAATTCAAGTCTAAAGAGTTATTTTTCAGAGTCATTCTTCAGAATTATACTTCAGAGTTATTTTAAGAGTACTAGTCTGAAGTAGTATTGTACTTTCGATGATCATTCATATTTGTAAGATAAGTTTCTAACATGATTTAATTGTTTCAAATTACCTCATGTAATACACGAGATCGAACCTAGTATAAAATATAGACGTGTTTGTGTGTATATGCATATATATATATATATATATATATATATATATATATATATATATACACACACGGTGTTTGTTTGGATTGATGGAGGAGAGAGAAGCAAAATTGTATGTATCTCGAATATTGCATTTAACTCCTAACCGTTTTTTTTTTTTAAATTACAACATTAATTACGTTGTTAAAATATTTAATATATATATATAATAAAATTAAAATATTTAATATATATAATAAAATATTATTTTTAAATAGTTTGATGGATTATATAATTTCAAGATTTTGATGGGTACAAAAAAGAAAGATAGAATTATATCTTTAAAAAGAGATGCATATTATTAGTTGTTTCCCAAAAATACCCCTAGATATTCATCATCTTGTTTGGTGTGGAAGCAGAAGTTGAAAGGCTATTACTGTCAATTGACACTGGAAACAATCCCCGGGAAAGCTCAACCACCATCCACCCATTTCCTCCTTACACAATCTTGCGTTCTCTTCTTGGTCTTTGCTCTGCTGAAAAGAACACAGATTCAAGAACAACAAAAATGGAAAGCACCCTGTTATTGCCACCCAGATTTCTTTCCATTAAAGGTAAGTCTGTGGGTCCTTTTTGCCCTAATTGGGATTTCCTTATTTCATGTTACATGAACCCTAATTGTTGGTTAAGTTGTTGATTGTTGAATCAGGCAGAGAATGTTGTGGCAATGTGAGGCTGTTTCAGAGCTCCTTTTGTGGCAAATTCATTGCTAACCCCCAATTTATGACAACTGATGCATATACCAATCACAAAAGCAGCACCAAGATAACTTCATTTGTAACCTTACTTCTTTTATCTGTCTGATATATATATATATATATATATATATATAGAGAGAGAGAGAGAGAGAGAGGAGAAAATTCAATTGCAAACCTGTTTTCCATTGTAAACCGGGGGACAAAGGAGGGTTAGCACGTATCCGTTCGTTCTTATCCATCATGAACAATGGAAGTCGGTTTCTTATGACATTCATGATGAATATCCTATGAATGTCGGGGACGTGACATGCTCTCTTTTGTTCCCCAGTAAACAACAGAAGGGTTAAATCAAATGAGAACCATAAAAAAAGTTATAAACATGTGAGAATCAGTTTAAAAATATTTTTTACATGATTTTTTTTCATCAAATGCTAAGATTTAAGATATTGTTTCATGGTGTGATCGTTTCACATGTACTTGTTTCACCATGTGAGACTTTTTTGCGTGTGTGTTTGTGTTCACATGTATTTGTTTCATTAAGTGAACAAACATACGTGAAACGGTATCTTAAATCAGAGCTTTTCATGTAAAACGCGGGATGTTTTGAAGAAGTTGATTATGGAATTTGGGGAAGTTGTTTAATGTCGATAACGTTTTTGTGTGTGTTTTAGTTTTCGATTGGCAAGAAGGCCAAGATAATCAAGAAAGAAACGGTTGTTCCAGATCCAGATTATCGAATACCGATTGTTCTTCTAGGTTTGATTCTGATTCCATATGAAAAACTTCTCATGATGTCTGTATCAAGTATCGATACATGTTTTACTACGGGGCTTTATGTGATGTCAAATGTGTCTAAATGTCCTGATAGATTGTTTTATAGGACCAAACAATTGTGTGTCGTATGTAAAAGTGTTGCAATAAGTTAATAGGTTGTTTTCGGGAATCCGAATAAGTTCTTAGGGCACTTATGAAATAAGACGTCATATTAATCTTTTTATGACATTAATCGAAAAAGTATTTATAAAAGCAATGTCCTATAAAAAGATGGATTTATAGGGTGCTTTTTAGAAGTGCCCTGTATAAAAGCAAATATGACACTTCATTTCAAGAGGGTCGTAAAAAGGAACTTGTTATGATGCCCAAAAACGTCTTACCAAACTTATTGTAACACATTTACATATGATGCACAAATGTTTGGTTCTAATAAACTTAAGTCCTATAAAATAGTCTATTAAACATATGCAGAGTTGTATGTACTTTAGGCTGAAATTGAGGAAATATGTTCATTTTTTACGTGAGCTTCCTTTTTCAACCTTCATTTCTTGAATGTATATATATATATACTATATTATAAAGCATTTGACAAAAACTCTTAAAAACCATTTTTATGCATAAAGTACTGTATATTGATACATATTATTTAAAATTCAAAATTACAAGTAAGATATGCATAAATACAACTTATTAAATCTCGATGTTTGAATTCGTATAACTAAATGCGGATAAACATAATTAAATAGAGGATAAACATCTCATTTTTAAAATATAAAAAATCTAAAATATAATTAGGATAATTATCGAGTTCAAACAAAATAATTAATTATTATTTTTATAAGAAAATTATATTATTAAACTAAATATAAATTAATTCGTTATTGTACCTAAATTAAATTATAATTAAATAATTAAATTATAAAATTACACAAAAAATGAGAAATTTTAAATAGTTAATTTGATACTAATATCGATATATTTTTGTCAAATTTTTATGTTATCTTCAAATTTATATTTTATTCAAAAATAAAAACTTTTCTCAAAATCATATAAGATCATATGATAACATCGACTGAGATAAAGAATAAAATGAAATATTAAAATCAAGATGCATCTCGCTGCATTGCGCGAGTACCCTTCTAGTATATATGTATATATATATATATAGAGAGAGAGAGAGAGATGGGAAGGCTTAGGGAAAACCCCAAAAACGAAGAAACTAATGAACACACCTTGATAATCATTCATCTCAACGGTATGCATAAGTGCATACAAGTAATTGAAGTTGTTTCTTGGTTTTTATGCATGTATGCATGTTATGCACATATGCATACCGGACAAATTGCTTGCAAATTACCTGTATGCATATGTGCATATCGTCGAGATGAACGGTTAGTTTCTCAGTTTTTCCCTTTTTTGCGGTTTTTCCCTGAACCTGATCCTATATATATGCTGATAAATTTTCTAATAATTAATAAATGTTAATATATGAATGATTAAACAGGTTTAGCTGGTGGTTTAGTGTACAATGATAATCTATTAGCAGCTGCTCCTGCTGGTCTTCTTGGCTTACTTTTACTCTTTCAGGTGCATTTTCTACTCTTACCTCCATTTTTGAATCATATAAACCTTTATAATTTCTTTTTAATTTTTGGGTTTTCTTTTATACAGACAACTCGAGTGAGGTTCGTCTTCGATGATGACTCCCTGGTTTGTTCCCTAAACCGTCGTTACTCCTACTGTAAATACATATAACAAAACCACAAGGGTGGTGCCTGATTGGTTTGAGCTTGAGTTGGCTCCAAAGGTCAAAAGTACCTGGAGGTCCCAGGTTCAAATCCAGGGAGAAATAAAAATCCCCTTGTGACCACGGAGGTTTAAATGCGGTGACTTCGGGCTATCTGCAAAACAGGTGGTCGCCCTGGGATTAGTTGACTCGCATAGCGGGTTGGATATCCAGGTTAATTAAATTAAAAAAAAGTACATATAACAAACTTTCGTGTAGAAATTATATCCTAACGGGTAGTTAGTCCTTCGTTAAGATTTTTTATGGCCTCGTTTTTTTATTTGTCGACTAATTTTGATTGTCCGCTAACTCCTATTAGGTATCTCGATAATTCAAATTATAAAATTTAATAACTGTCACAACATGATCGGCTTTATAGGACGTCAAATATGTTTGAATGCCACTGGTTTAGAAAGATTTAAGTTTATATGACCAAACAAATGTGTCTTAAATAACTTGTTAAGTTGCCAAAATACGTCATATAACAGTTTATTGCAACACTTTTAGATACGACTCATAATTGTTTGGTCCTATAAAGCAGTCTGTTAGAAATATTTGGCGTCCTATGAACGCGATTTTGTTGTAGTGTGTGAATGCAACTCTTATAGTACATATCTACGCGTACACGAAAAAGTGAATCTTTGATTGTTTTTCGAGTTGTTTTACAACTAAAGGAGGTGAAAGTTGGACAAGAGCTCGAGGACTCGGGTGAGAATGTGTTTGTCGGTGGCAAAAACCGTTGGAAGTGAGTCATTTCTTCACGTATGCACGATTCAAATATTTGCTACCCGAAACTAACGTTTATAGCAGATATTCTTCATTCGTGAACTGGGAGCTTTGGTGGCCAAATTTCCCGATTTTGGTTTACTTTAAGGAAACACAAACGAAGCCCGAAGGACAAGTCCACTTTTTCCCCGTGATCTTTGTGAGTTTTCAAATGCTACGAGAATTTCCATTCTTTTTTCATGAATGCTCGTTTCTGATATCTGTTATTTCGCGTGATGATTAGAATGGGAAACAGTTATATGACGTTATGGTGGAACGAGCAGGCCCTTCGAAGACTAGTGGCCCCAATTAGTAACGATGATAGAGATGTCGAAATTTGTGGGTATAAGATCTTAACGTAAAATTTGGGTGTTCTGAGTTTCGGGTTTTGCTTATGATGGTTTCCGCGTCGTATTTTTGCAGGAAGAGTTTGTCGATCGGTTCTTGATCGAGATTTATACGTATAAAGGCGGGTGTTACCGTATACAAGATTCGTTTGTTAGTATTCAAATGCTAAGATATATTTGAAACTAGTTCAATGTGTTGGATTACAATACTGGTAGTTCTAATCTATCTCTCCTCCATAAAATAAAAGAAATGCAAGAATCAAACCGGTTAACCGATTGGACCTTTAACCGATTCTTGAACCCTCGAGCTGTAACCGGTCTTGATTATATTGGTTGCTTTTTTTTAACATTTAGGGGCCGTTTATCAAACACTTACTGGATAAGCGCTTACCTATCAATTACTTTACTGGGTTAATATAGGAAGGACCCAGAATCTCACTCCATAAGAGGGAAGGCAAGGATTGAGAGTCTTACCCGAAGAGCCCGGGTACGCGCTTACCAGGTGATAAACATTTAGGGGCCGTTTACCAAACACTTACCCGGTAAGTGCTTACCGGTAAAATTTAACACTATTATTTACTTAACGGATAAGATTTTAGTCCACCAAAACGACTTTGTATGTAACAATTTACCCGGTAAGCGCTTACCGTGGTAAGAGTCGTCGTCTTCACTTACCGGGTAAGACTCTTGTACTTGTCTCGCTCTTACCGGGTAAGATTCTTGATCCTTATCATATTCATCCAGTGAAGTAACGTGAATTGGTAAGCGCTTATCCGGATAAGCGTTTGGTAAACAGCCCCTTACTATCAATCCATTTTGATGATTGAGAATGTTACCTGATAAGGTAAGTTAACCTAGCGACTCTATGGGTAAGTACTTACCCGATAACCATTTGATAGATAAACCCTTACTTTACTATATATAATTAATGTATAAACTAAACGTTACATAAATAAATAATTAATACATGAAAATTGTTGATGACTTTTAAAACCCATATTAAAATTTAAAGTGTGAACCTTTTTTTTTAATATATAAATTAAATAAAACGATTGTATACTGTCTTTATTCTTGTAACCGGTTACATTTAACCTGTTGTAGGACCGGTTTGGGTTTTAGGCCCCACCAGTTACAACGGTTCCCTCCTTAACTGGTTATAGATTGAATCCGATTTCAACAAGGAGAACGATGTTTAGAACTAACCAAAACAACTAAAGAACGGATACAAGGTTTTCGATTTTCTTTTGACCATGTGCCTTCTTTGCATTTTGACTTTCCAATCTGTGTCTAGACTGTGTCCATTTGAGCAATTCGACTGGATCTAGATAATTTTTTACTAGATCCAATTTAGTAGTTCAACTAGATTCAACCAAGGTTTAAATGGGTCTGTCTAGCTTTTGAGGAAAAAGTAAGTTTTATCTCGAGCTGTAGTATATAATGTCCATTAGGATTCAGTCGACTAGTTGGATCCTATTGAAATTTATGTTTTCAAGAAGTTCGACTAGGTGTATTGAGTTTTAAGAATCAAAGTCCCAGGTTAGAGCATGAATGCACCCGACTAGACCAAGTCATGTTTTTGTTTTCTAATAACGTCGTTAAAGGAATTTTGAGAATAGCATACATGGAAGGTTATGGTAAAATAAAGGTTTTGGAAGGTAATTAAAAATATATTAGTTGGCATTAATCTGTGTCATATCAACATTAACAGGCTATCAGGTAAACTAGACACTTAAATATATGTGAAGTTTTATTTTTGAAAGTTGGTTCATCAAAATAGAAAACAAGTGAAAGTTGGTTTTATTCTGATATAATTTTTTCTATTTAATATTAAGCAATTTCGTTGACAAATGACTTTTTTTTATTCACTTTGTTGCAAGCAAACCAACCTTATTTACCAATAATATGATAGAGTTGGGTTATGACGAGAAGGGTAAGAAAAATATTTTCATTCTTAGATCAATCTTGATAGTAAGATCAACATTAATATGGTACACCAAGATACATTGGATCAATTTCCGTGATAAAAACAATTTATAGGGTGGGTGTGAGATTAAAATGGTCAAGGATCCAGATCCCTTTTTACGCTTATCAGTTTAACTCTTATTTCACACGATCCTTTGTCTAATAAAATGATTCAGACCATACATTTACATTTATTTTTGGAATTTTTAAAAAGAAATATTATATTTACTTCAGTTGCATTAATATAGTTGGTCATTTTGATTTTAACCTCGACGGATGCTTATGTTTTTTAACACAAATTTAATTACTTCTACAAAAATAGTTACTATACCTAGAACTTTTGCCATCAAACAATTGATGTACCATTACTAGGACGCTCTTTTTGCCTTCAATGGAGGAGGATCAAACGAAAACGGTACCTATTTAAAAGAACATGAAAACCAACGAATCACATGATTTTACACTAACATCGCATACAAAATCACATGTGATTCAAACAACCTTACCCGGCGACCTGAAGGCGCAGCTACAAGTTGTCCGGACACTTTTTTTAACCATCAATGTAAAATCACATGTGATTTTACACATGATTTGCCCGTTTTTGTGTTCTTTTGAATAGGTACCGTTCTCGTTTGATCTTGCCTCTACATATAGATAGATAGATAGATAAATAGATAGATGTATTTTCCAATACTAGTGAAATTAGCCAATATTTTGCTGTGGTATCAACATCCTACACTGATAATTAAATCAACACATGTAACGGGAAATAAATCACCAAAAAACCTAATACCGAACATCATGTTTTCTACCAACAAATACTTCTGCAAAGCAAACTCAAGCGTTGACGTATACAAACCTATGAAAAGATTGAAGCCTATCAAGGACCTAAACTTAATACAAAATTTCAGTAGCTTAATACTAATACATACAACAATTCAACATCCATAAAAGGATCATAAAGACTCAGAGTGTTAACTTTTGAATACTGAGTTCCTTGAGAGAACTTGCTAATCTCTGGAACACTTTCAGGTTATGACCAACTTTATCCTGCACCCACAACAATCACTCACATTATTTTTTATATCATATTATAAGAAAATCCAATTCTTTCTATTTTTAATCACTACTACTACTATTGTTATTATTAAATCAAAGCCATACCTCCCTTAGCACTTCAAGTCTTTCCAAAATTGGAACAAGCTTTGAACAAAATGAATCTAGGTCTTCTACAGCTTCTTCCTTTGAACCATATGTAAGTGCTTTTACAGCTTCACCAGATTCAGATGATGATGATGATGAACTGCCAAATAAACCACTCACTTAATAAATGATTCCATATCATCAAAACCAACCAGGAGGAACATGTGCAATACCTGTTTTGGAAATGGATGAGAAAAATGTTCAACAAGTTCTCTGCAAGCAGAAGCACCAGCGTGATAAGCCGATCCCTATTTCCAGCAATCCGGCACATTTCCACCATCGTAATGTACCTCCTGCACATCACGGAACATGTAAATTAGAATTAAAAGGTTTTACAAGAACCCATGGTATTGTCTCGATCCTTCTACTTTTATTTATTAGTTTATTTTATTTTATTTTATTTTTTTATAATTCTATAAAATATGATGCTGAGCGGCTCATGAGTCATGATAAGGCATAACTATAGCCAAAACTACAAGTATTTCTCCAAGTTGCTGAGCCACCTATGACAAATCCTTTTTCATGTAGATTAAGCAACTACATAAGATCTAGCAATTGTGGAGAACATCCAATTTGAACCACAGATACAAGCAATTCCAGTACCTTTTTTGAATATTGTCTGATGAAGCAACTTGATCTTCAAGAACACACATGTTAATAATTTCATCCACCTCTTGGCGCGGTAGTTCGTTTATGTCTTGAATCTGAAGCACATAGAACAGATACATTAAGATTAAAGCTCACATGGCAATAAGATATAAAAGCAACTATGAAGACTTGTGACCTTGTTAAGCAATATAGATTTTTCCTCGGCGGCATTTTCAAGAGCAGTGGTCACGGAGTTAAGAAGATAACCAAGCAAACTTAACGTCGGTTGCTGCTGTCCCACCAATGCACTATAATCAGTTGAATTGTTGGAAACCTGGTCACAGCAACGTGGTTAGACGTACAGATGTATTAGAAACGGTCAAAAGAGCAAACTATATTAACATAGCCATGCTACACGCACCTGAAGTCTCAATGATTTCTTTTTAACAAGAAAGTAGAGATAAGAGCTCAGGCTAAAGCACAGACGAAATGCACTCAATTCAGACTTCCTCTGTTTCTGAAAATCCTATGTGGAGAGAGAAGAAAAAAGATTAGATGTGATGTTACTAAAAGTCCATATATTACTAATAATGCTCAATTATCAAGGTGCCATAAATAAAACTTACTGATTGAGCTGAAGAAAGAAATGTTGAATCACGTGAAAAAAGAGTGTGCATCAATCCAAAAAGTCCTTGAACAAAACCGTACTCAGCACCTTCCTCGTATGGCCAAACCTAAAGAGTAAAACAGCAAATACATAAGAAACAAAAATATTGAGGACAGGTATAACAGAAGATACATGTTCTTCCGTTTGAGGATCCACAAGGTGTTCCTTGTACAATGTTTCATGATATCAAGAATTCCCTCGCTGGCCTTAATTTCTGCTACATTTGAGGCATGAAGATAATTGGACACCCTGTCGTTCAGAGCATAAAGAAGAACATATACTAGAGCAAGCATTGCTGGGATATCTACGCATAATAGTAAAGAAAAATGCAGATTGCAAACCTTGCTAAGTATACCAACAACAAGGTTAATCTGTTCCATTGCCAATTCATCAGCATCAGAAACATCTTGGTGAAGAACTTGATCGAAAAGTAGTTGATGACCTTTGACAAAGTCTATCACTTCACGAACAACTTTATTCTTCACCTACAAAACATCAAGGTTAATAATACCAAGGTGCTACCGAACAAAGCCAGAAAACCATTACGGCAGAAAAAACTAAGAAAGCAAAGTGGAAAAAAGGAAGATGAAGAAGAAGCTCACCTCAAAAAAGTCCGATGATTCAACCAATGAAGTCAAAGAGAACACCAATCGCAATAATGGAGATATAATCATTCTTTGTCTGTGAACATCGGCAAATGAATCTTTCCCGAAACTAGTGTCGAAACGTCTTAGGTTCCCCTGTGTGAAGATCCAACTTTAGCGTAGATCACTTTTGGAAAACTTAAATCAGAACTCAGAAGCATAACAAAACTGACCTTGATGTGCATGTTGTGTGTCATGCATGAAGCAATATGCTCAAATGCACCCATAGAGAAAAGAATCTGAGCCCCTGATTTACCATACTTGTGGCTAATTCTCAATAGCAAAGCAAGTTCTGCCTCAAGAGCACACAAGCGTTGTAATGGATCTATAGAATGCATGTTATCCTTCATGACAGAAAAATCAAAAGATGAATTTAGAGTTTAGACCGACAAATAAAAGCAGACGGCACAAGAACAGCCCTATAGGCTGCATACATACATCATACAAATTAAGAACAAATTTAATACATGCAATCAAATATAAATTCTGAATCAACAAAATCTATGTAAATATGACTGCTAGATTGTTCAACTTCAGAAAATTCAGTCCATAGCATACATGTTGCTTGTTATACATTGTATCTTTGAAAAATCAATTAGTAGTCAATATCAATTTTTCCCCATAAACAAATAGAAAAACAATAATAAGTGGCAGGACTTAACTTCAATTAAGAGATACTCTGGTTTGTCAAAGAATAAATACAAGATTTGGGTGTGGGTGTGGGGATATATAGAACATACAAGGGCGAGGGATCCAGATGGAGAAGTGAATGCCTAACTACACATCTTCTGCCATCTGCAAATTTGACCACATAATTAAGATTATACATCTTAACAAATTAATTATGTATTTCCTCTATTATGATTAGTTGTACATTATTTAGTTGCCAACTATATCTTGCTACACAAAGGAAAGATTTGTTAGATTTGATTTAAAGTAAATGATAGTTGTTCTTAGTTTTTAAGGGACTTGATTTTGCTTGCCATAATTTCCATAAGCCAAAATAATCTTCAGCAGTACTCTAATTTGTGAAATCACACACAATAGACATTTATGGAAAGCATTCTCCCACATACAACACATAAGACCTGCATATGTCCTTTTGGGTGGACGTATAGGGAGGTCGTGTGCTAGATAAGGCTTCCACAACCACTAGAGTGAAATTCCTAAACAGCAACCATTTTAGATTAATGTATGATAAATGTATTCAATAGAATAATATTGCAGGCTTATAATGAACAGCCACCATAAAATATAAGTTTTCATGTTTCTTCAAACAAACTAGAAAATTATTAATCAAAGAATTGAATTACATAGCACAGGGTTTGCTAACATGAACGCAATTGAAGAATTGGTTGTTCTTTCAACTCTGGCATCTTATGTTGGGAGGTGAGGTCCCTAACAGAAGATGTTTTCATTATCACATGTTAGTCAATTAACTTACACAAGTCAGCCAACACTTCCCTATGGGATGTTTTCATTATCACATGTTAGTCAATTAACTTACACAAGTCAGCCAACACTTCCCTATGGCTCTCTTTCATGCTATAATTGATATGAATTGGTATTCTTATTTCTCTAGATTTCATACACGATCAACGGTTTATATCAGAAGTGTTATAGAAATGCTTCCTTTAGGTTGCGTCTTATGTTCCTCAACTGACAATCTACTCTACTCTTTCTTAAATATTCTTCTAGCATTCCAGGTATAATGCAAAAATCCTACTAGTTGTGTAACTAATTTTCTTGCACAAGCCTTGAGACAAGTTAACAGTGACTTTCTATTTATTTTTATCATCAAAATAAAGGTCTGGACAAACCTACCACATAATATGAAATACGAAAAGAGATTCCCAAGGAAGGTGTGAAGAATTTACAAACATTATAATAAATTATTAGAAACAACAAATTTGAGAGCGATCAAATGTCTCAAACAGTAAGGGGGGGAACCTGATATGAAACATTGCTGATGTTCATGAGGCAAGACCTCAGAAAGCCTCTGCTTTGAAGCTGACCTAAGAAAAACTTTTCATGGTCAATACAAATCATCGCATCCAGAACAAAGAGGGCCATTATCTTTCCCGATTCACTGCCTTGAGTTGCATCTTTAATAGCCTTGATATCAGTTGCATTGAAACAAAGGAAAACAATGTCAGCTGGAGCCCAATGTATGTATATATATGTGTGTATACAAGGCACATTACATATGTGCTGTATGCGGCTGCTAATATGGTACTGAAAATACATCCATGTCAAAATTATTTTACAGAATAACCGTGATAAATCAACAAATATAAATTGCACAGCATCATGTACTTCAAACATTATTTTCTTAAAAATCATGCATCTAATATAAGAGTTCAGGACAGAATACTAGCATGCAGAACACCCTGATGAGTTATACAAGCATTGAAGTGATACCTCAATTCACATCCAATAAAGTATCATCATGCTTGCACAACAAAAAGAATCCAAGATATCAAGCAACTCAATACAGCTAAACTAAAAGAGTACATTTGGAGTTCAATTTTGTGGACACAAAGCAAACGAGGCACAATAAGATTTGTGCACCTCAGATAATGGTTAAACAGATACTACACCAACAGATATGAAGTGTTACAATCAGATATATGTGTATATAGCAAGTGGACTACCAATCAAGTAGTGTTGAGGAGAGTTCACACATGACTTCTGTCCAGGTGTCATGATAACTAATCAAGGGACATGACCCAAACAATCATTTTGCTAAACAACTTCAAGACCGAAACATTATGTTCTGCTACCTCATAGCTCAAAACTCCTCTGTAAAATATGGATCTCTTTTGTGGTGGGTGAGGGATTGAAACTACAACTACTTGAGATGTCCCACTGAAACTGCAATATTTCATTCTTGTAAAATTTTCAAGCTAAAGTACTTTACTTGTCAATTGCGTTTCTTATCAATAACATTGACCTCGTCCACACGGTTCCCCAATTGAAATGTGTTTTAGATACCAGACAACAGCAAACATCTTTTTAGTTTATAAGTAGAGTCAAACTTTGCAAATTTTATGGGATAGCAATACAAGCCAACATAAATGTATATATTCAACTGATTTGAGTACCTCAATCACCGTCCTTAAGAGCATTCACATAATAATATATCCCTATTCTTCCACCACCAATCTATAATATTACTTTCATGGCAAAATATCACTATGATAAGTTACTATAAGACCCTTTATCCAAAAAAAACTTACTATAAGACCGTTGACCTGGCAATAACACCTGCAGCACCTTACATTACACATCTTGTTATCACAAGGAGAAAATAATATATGAATGATATCAATTTTAGCAAGCAAAAGAAAACTGGTAGGCCTGCCAAGAATAACAGGTAGCACATAACTTGAAATGTGATGCCATCAATAAGACAAACAGTACAAAATAACTCATCAATGATCAGAACTTATTCCTGGATGCCAGCCACAAGAGAGGATACGACTTACGAGTGTGCATGTGTGGATGACGTATGTATATAGAATGTAGAATACCATATGCAAAGTTAAAGAAATTATTTCAGAGCAATATACAACATCATCGGACATACTCTATCCAACAAAAAGAGTAAGGGGCGCACCAAATCTAAAATTGACTGAGCTTCTTTTCTTAGGATAGATAAGTTTGCATGGGCCAGTTCGGCCTGATCCTGGTCAATCTGAACAAAAGCAAAATGTTAGTCTCCATTGCCAACAGTTGTACAAATAAACTAGTAAAGTAACCAATGATGCTGCCATTATATGAGAGTTGACAAAAACCCACAATTTCATTATCATTGAATTTAGAACCTTCTCACCTTCTCAAGATCCAAATCTCCACTATCTTGCTCATCTATCAACAACGATTGCAGGACAGTAGTAGGAACGTCTGGATCCAGTATGTGCTGACAGTACTGGAAGTAGCTTAGAAGCAATGTGTATTGGCTAAAAGTTGGACATGGTAAAAAGAGTCAGGCATCATTCAAAATTTTATTAGCAACAGGAATGGTGAATTTCTAGCTAGTTAACTAGAAGTCTAGAACCATACCGTCTCCTCAATGCTTCTGAAGTATCATGTCTCAGAATTGCCATCATAATCTTAAAAAGGATAGAGTGACATGCACCATTTGACAGTCGCTTTGTCATAATCACATCAAGACATGTGACTGTGTCAGAATTCAAGACACTTGGGCTGACAAACCTCTCATCGCGCAGTTTTGCCATGCATGTAATTGAAACCTTGAGATAAAAATATTCAAAATCATCAAGCAGCACTATGGAAAATATAAGGGACAACCACAGGATATCTGTATGGCTTGTGATAAAGGAATCCGTAAAATAAATCAGCTTATAATTTAACTCATATCTATTGCAAATAATAGCTGTATTTTTTCCTTACAAAAAGCTGGAAATCAGAAACAAATTTTCTGTTAAAACTAATGGATAGCAAATGACTTTTCTGGAACACTTCCAAGATTTTGTGATAATTCTAAGGTCAAAATTGTTCTATTCTACAAATGAAGTTCCGATCATCACTTTTCTCCCTATCTCAACCCCACCCCCAACCAAAGAAAAATAAATGAACAAAAGTGAAGTGTGAATGCAAAGCAATCATAATGCAGGTCCAACTTTTAAATTCATCTCCTTCAACTAATGATGCCAATACTACCCTATTAAAAGACTATCAAAGGAGAAAATAAAACCGTGACCATTAATAGGTCATATCAACTAGTAACCACAAAACAAACACAAATCAATGTACCATTCCACCATGACACCAACAAAATCAAATATTTCAAAAAACCAAGACGAGATTCTATGACCTCTACCAGTCTCAGGTTCATGAACAACATGTAGCACCAGTAAAATCAACTTATCAAACAAGCATCTTCTTCATATCTTGCTCCATTCTAATACTCGAAAGTTGAAATCTCTATCACTCTATCATCTCCTTTCTGTCATTCTTTGTCTTCATTTTTTTTGTCAAGGCTGAAGTACGAGGAAAGATATGATTTATATAAACAGATCCAACTGAGAACATGATAATGTTCTTTGTCTACTTGTTTAACAATGTAGAACTTCAACTTTAATAACTAATATCATACTATGCTAGTACTGCAAATCTACGGAACTGTAATTCCCTTGTAAAAAAAGAAAAACTGTTTTACCTAAGGATTAAATAACAGGAATTTTGTAAATAATGACACCCTTTTTCTGTATACCCTGAGCAGGCTTTCAGAATGAGTCATTATGTAGCTTACGTGTTCCCAAAGATGAAGCATATGGGCTGACGGTCATGCCAACTTCTCCAGAGGTATGCAGTTCAATCAGAAAATGAAGTCACGTTTAGAAGCAGATAATATTTAGAACCAAACATAAAAGTTGTACCAAATATGAAGAGTTTACATAGTTGAAGCACAGAATCTGCATGTCATTGACAGCACGAAGACTTGGCATAATTACAATATGCGCAAATACATTTAGTTACCTGAGTTAACATCACCGCCATCTTTAACGAACAATCTGGAGAACTAGAAGCATTTAAAGATGTGTCAAGCAACCTGTTGGCAAGGACAAAAACAATTATGACACGATTTCATAAATACAAAAAAAGTAGATAACATTATCTCAGGGAGAGAGAGCTGACGCACAGAAACAATATTTCAGATCGATTTTCCATTAAGGATATCCTTCTTGAAGCTGAAACCTGATAAACAGACCATACACACAGCAGTTATTCAGATTACCGTGTAAAAGAAACTACATATAAAATGACACATAAGAGGTTAGCAACAGTAATATCGGAAAGGAAAAGAAAACACAAAGGTAAGAGGAGAGAAAAAGGGTCCATTCACCTCAACAATTTGTGACCATCCTGTCAACATATGGAGTTGAGCAGCCTGCTCTTCAAGGTTCTTGTTGTGTTTCCAAGCCCATCGCAGTAATTGCTGAACGTTATTTCTCACTTCGGTCAGTTCAACTTCACTGCCAAAGGAACTCAGCTGTGGATTGTCAAGATTGCATTTCTGAAGGAGAAAAGGAGGCAGGAAATGAAATATACTCATGAGGTAAGATAGATGTGGCCCAGAGAGTCAATCAAGCAATATTGAGAGATAGAAGTATGACTCGAGAAGAAAATGAAAACAAAATTAGATACCTGCCAAAGAGTGTCTCGGAAAGCATTTAGGTCAATCAACCGATCCCCTCGTTCCGAGTAGTAATAAACACCTCCCTTTTCATATGTTGCTGGATTCCCGAGTATATCGTCGGCCTACAAAAAGAATTTCATCATATAAGGACGATGAAATGTCATACGAGCTGTAATGAAAGCCGAAGAAATACTTGGCGCTTACCACTGGTCCAAATTTTATGTGAGAAAGAACTTCAGAATGCTTCACCGTTGTATCTGGAGATCTGAACTGGATTATTTCAAGCAATTCTAATACCTGCATTAGAATTTCAAATCAATATTAGTAAACTAGCTTTACTCTTCCAAGGAGGTACATGAAATGAAATAGGAACCAAATAAATAATTATCATTACAAATTACACCATGAAATTCCTATCCCTTGAAATTAAGTTCCTATATGCCCTACTTATTACACCAACTAAATCCCTAGATGGATAAATTAAATTCAAATGGGATCATTCATAGTCACTGATATATAATAGACGAAGACAAGGTTGGGTGAATACCACGTACTAATGGAAAAGCCTAACAACCATGTATCTCCCTCTCCCACTCAAATGAGTCCGAATCACATATACGACATGATACATAATCTATATAAACTATATAGGGGAAAGATATCTCAGCACCATTTGTGTCCGAAACCATGTCCCATGAGAGTTAATTGACACACGTTCCCACTCCCCACAAGTGCCAAATCAACAATAGGAAAAGGCATCGACATGTTGCAGCCAAGTAGTGAGCACCATACCTTACACCTGCCAATGGCTCTGCTTGCAGTATCTTCAGGACTACTCTGAAGGAGGGGGTGAAGAATTTTATTATCACTGTCATATTCGGTTTCACCTCGCCCAAACAAATGACCAACAATGCTGTGACACACTTCTCGGTGGCTGGAAGATGTTGCATTGCCAACATGCAATTCAAGTGCTAAAAGCTTCAACAGCCACGCTCTCTGAATCAATGAAGAAAATGCTTATTTCAGTCGATAATAAGTCTGGCAATACTTAGCAGAAATCCCCAACGCATATTTGAGGGAAAATGACAAACATTACCCAAGGCCAAAATGAAGAAAAAACAGAATAAATTTTGATTTCCATAAGAAATACTCGGAGACAATTAATGATTTGCTTAGTGTCTAGAATGTTAAACAAGTTTAGTGTCTAGAATGTTAAACAAGTTCTTTTTACATTTCTTACATCAGGATGACAACCACAAATCTGCTTTATGGAGTGCATCAGTCCTTAAATAACTGCAAATACACCTCCATATGGATATTTCTATTATTGACAACATAGAGTAATCTTGCCAAAAAAAACTGCTGTATGGATCTTTATAGATTTTGCAATTACACCAAATTCGTATGCATATTTGTTTTTTTGCAGCAAACATCACATATGAACAATGAAAAGATGCAAAAATACACCCAAAGACGAAAGAGAGTGTACGCCACAAAAAAGAGCTTGCATCTACAAACAAAACGAAGCTGGGTTACTTTATAACCACGTTCATGATTTCATCTGATGCAACATATTCTACACAAGGTAACATACCCTACTCAACATAAACATAAAACAGTCATTTCAGATCATACTCAAAGGCGCTGCCATTCTCAATTTAGGTGACCACACCAACTGCCATTTCTCAAGTTCCAACTTCCAACTAAAATTTTCAATATTGATCCACAATCACATCATAACACCTTTAAGAGTAATATTAAGGATGAGGGTAAGGGGAAATGAAAAGGGGAAGAAAGAGATCGTCATACTCCGCCACAGAGATGATCTGCCAATCTTTATGCATCACCGCTACAGCATAATACCCACCCATATGAAAAAAGAAACAAGAATATGCAAAAGCTGACAGCATTCTAAACTATTTCAATGCCATAAATTACAGTTGTTTAAATAACTTGAACTGCATATGTGTACATGTTTGTATGTATACATAAGGACGCAAGATCTATTCACTACTGTGGGGGCTACTTTGTGTACATATCAAAGAAGCAAAGCTATACAAAGCAGACAGCATTCAAAATTGTTTCAAGCCCATAAATTACGCATTCTTTCAAAATCTCAAATAAAATATTTATGCATACATGCAAACGTATAAATGCATGTACTTTTCAATACATTTGGAAAGCAGGGGCTACTGTGGTCACTTTGCTGGGATTAGCACTTTGGCATGGAAGAGTAGATGATTCAACTAGAAGGAACTCAGCTGATCATCTGTGTATTCCAAACTGGTTTAGGAATATAAAGTTAATTTAAGCTAAGAATACATGCAATCACCATTTTCCGGTCTCACAACATTAATTTCCTACCGTACACCAATGGAACTCACCATTTTCCGGCCTCACAACATTAATTTCCTACCATACACCAATGGAACGAGTGGGCAAGCAAGAAGTTTCAAAACCCACAGCTGCATAAACTACAACATTGCCATATAGAACAAAGAAAAAGATGACATATTTGTACACAACCGCTCTAGCTTGATCTCATTTGAAGATTGTTAAACCGTGGATAAACTAAGAAACGTATGCAAGAACACAAGCCATCTCATACCAGAAAGTTGATGAGCAATGAAATATCAAGTGTTGCCAAGTCAAACCTGATGCAGAGAGCTGATTCGAAGTGGCTGAGTGCTATTTCTTTTTGGTAGTGGTGCAACACCAATGTTATCCAGATGCTGTAAATGCAGATTTAGATAATTGCATAATCAATGGAAATACTGCCCCAGTTCTGGAAGAAAACCTCTTACCTTGACAAAAAATCGATACTTCTTGGTACTAAGAAGATCAATGGTTGGGCCACATGTGAGTGGATCCGAACATAATTCGTAAAGCAGCTACAGAAGAACATAACTTGTCCGAGTAAGTAGCAACAGACAAAGAGTACCAATATATCTAAAATAGTTGGGACTGCCTAACCTGAAATCCGAATTCATGAAGCAATGCATTGACATCAGGCTTTGGTAGCATTTCCAGAATATCAAGTACAACCTTCAAACAACTGATATGACAAAAAGAATAATATAAAGCATATAAGACAATATAAAGAAATTGAAGATGAAACAAATGCGATAAAAAATTCCAACCTGTAATTAAAAAATACCTGTAGTTGAATTTTGGCTGTAACACTGTCCTCTCTACAGGGGAATCGAGGTCAAACTTCAGCAAGAAATGTGTTATATTGGGGGCTGGGCGACCAATGTTATCAATGAGAAGCTGCAATGTGAAGGAAGAAATATATAGAATATTCAACAGAAAAGGAACATAAATTTGATCTTCGCCTCATCCCAAAAAAACAAGGATAAGGCAAAAATACTAACTTGCATTATAAGCACGCCCGGATCATCACAGCTGTTTTCTATAACTTGACACCCTTCAGATCTTAGCTCCAGACAAGCAGCATAATCTTCAACCAGAAGACTAACAGAATTGGATTTTAGTAGCAACGGAACAAGGCCAACCATGCGAGAACTGTTACATGCAAAAACTACAAGGTCATTCTTAGGTCACAAACATACCAGATACATCTAAGAAACAATAGTGCATCTATGATCCAAGCAAGGACAAAAATTAAAAGCCTGAGTATGGTGAATAGCAAGGGATACCTTAAGATGCTCATTATTTTTATGGAACGTAGTTGAATTTGCGGAAGAAAATCATATCTGATGTATTCCAAAAGAGCTACAATCTGATTATGATCTTGAGAAAGTATAACATCGAAAGGCTGCAACAGAACGATCAACAAGTACATACGACATAAGGTGTTGTGACCGAGAAAATAAGGATGAATAGAAAATCAATAAGAAAACTAAATCAGGCATCCAGAAACAAATTACAAAAGCAAGACTTAAACAGTAACTAATAATGTTATTCTGATGTCATTAGCATATTCAATCAAAAAATATATATCATGACGGATCTACGATGGTGATATTGTATGTGACCTATTGAGAGTATACCACAGGAGTTGGTAATTTCTAGGAGCTTCATTCTGAGCATCTCAAATAGTTTTTGTAAATTGTGATGTTTCATTAGTTCTAGCAAGTCTAACTAGCCATAGATAGAATTCTGTGGTTTTCGTCGCCCTAGATGCTTATGCACCACACTGGCAATGTAGCAAACAACATACAAGTATGCTAGATATGTCGCAATTAAGTTTGAATTTTTTATAATAACATGTAGCACAACCCAAATTTTACAATTTGAGAACCATCTTACACTGACTCATGCTAGAACCTTCGAAGGAAATAGATAACATAAATGATAATAAACAACTTTTTTTTGGTTGCATGGTAACCTGGTATAGGGGACGCCAAAAATCAGAAACTGATAAATCCTTCTCCAAGACAAGGATTATAATTTCCAGAGATAGGAGCACAGCTTTTTCTAGAAGTAAACCATAAGTATGATTGGTCCGGTCAGCAATTATAGCATCCACTCCAGGCAAAAGAATACCCATAATATTTCGAAACACAGTCTTCCCACTCATGAAGTCCTGTAAACATCATAAATGGAGAAAAATATACGCATGGATAAGTAACAAATAGTTTCCAAAGTCAATATCATCACACAACTCAGAAGATTTATATGTAACAAGAAGGGGGGGACAAATGCGGCATACGGTAAGGCGTGGTAGTACAGATTAAAGAACATTTCTCCAACATAGAGCACACCTTAAATCCACAAAAAAGAAGCTCGGAGAACAATAGAACACCTATTAGATGTTCTCTAATCTACAAACAGCAAGATTAGAAAACCTATAATGCTCTCTGACATTGTGTTCTCAAGTTCTTTATTTGGAGAGAAAGGAGGTGATTTGGAAGGTGATGAAGAGAAGGTAAAAAAACATCGTGTTCTAGGAGTTCTTTTTTTTTTTTTTGGAGAAAAGAGAAAGGAACCAGATGGGAAGTTTTAAGTGATTTCTCTCCAAAACTTTCCTCCCAAATTTGAGAAGATTCAAAGAGAAAGGAAAGGGTTTATAATATTTGTAATTATTAAATTGTTCCTGACCTAACTTATTATTATTATATATGTATATACACACCTCTTAAAGGAAAGGAAGAGTATAATTGTAAAATTGTTAATATTATTTCCCTTTTTCTCCAACTCGGCAACACAAAGAAAAAAAATGACTTCTTTCCGACTCAAAGACCACACTGAAACAAATTATTGTCCTCTATTTTCTCTCCAAACTCGAGAAAATGATTAATACAGTAAGCTGGATGGCAAGTCCTTTTCGCATAAAATAATCAAATTACAATCCGATATTTGGTGTTGTTTGGCAATTGCTGAATGGTTTGGTACAGAATGATTAATAGGCTCTCATGATATAGTGCAAAATGAAATATAATTGTTTGGTAATTGTGTACAATGAAATATGGCTCTTAATGGTTAAGGGAGATTCAGGATACAAAATCATTCAGAGGGTTTTAGAACAATTAAGAGGCAGACTTTTTTTTTGCCAAACAAGATTCACCTCTTAACGATTCAGAGGTTGCCTCTTGATGGAACTATTAAGAGGTAAACAAACAACCCTCCTTGTTTGAAGATTATAACCAAATGCAGAATGTGGGCAAACCAGGTATGCTACACACCACCTCAATCAGCAAGCCACGTATTCTGAAAGAACCACCAAAAGAAGAATCCACAGAAAGATCATCCATGAACAGTTATGGGTCGGTACAAAGAGAAGCAATTACTGAAAGATGACCTTGCAATAAAGTTCCATAAATACTTAACATAATGTGCAATGATTAAAAAGCAACCAGAAAAGCATCATTGGAACCAACACTAGAGCCACATACACAGCAAAGGAATTAAATTAAAAATTCCAGTGGCCAAATCAGCATCAAATCAACAAGCATGGCTTCTGTTAGAAAAACACCAATTATAAGTCAAGCTGAGACTTGACCACATAATAAAAACACAAAGCAAAATAGAAAATACTTCAACCAAGTTGATGACAACATTAGGCAAGTGTAGCACAGACAAAAGAAGACAGACACAAGAAAATAGATTTATCACATTCCCCGTCTTTTTCCTACGACATGTGATTTTACCAAATTCTGCTTAACAGTATCAGCCTTCAGGAAAACTAGCCATAGGCTGATAAAGTATTCATATGCATGAGATATATGAATTATATGAATAAAACCAAGGGGGGAAGTGAAAAGGGAGAAAAATAAGTGTAGTATGTCATAAAAATGAAGAAACCAGTGAGTAAGAAGTGCACTGCATGAAATGATTGGAATATCATCAGCTACAAGAATAAATTAGCTTACTTTGAGCAATTCTATGACAGGAAGCTGCAACTGCAGTGGAGTTGATTGTGGTGCCGACAGCTGAGACTGACTGACCACAACGTCAATATCTTCATCTTTTATGTCATACATACTCAATATCCTGCATATATTACACCAATATATAAGTGATATCAATAAAATTCTCAGTAAAAAAACTAGAACTAACCAAAACAACTATAACAACATTGCTAAACAAGAAGATATCCTCTCACGTGCAACAAAAGTAGAGCCCAAAATAAGGCTAAAAACTAAGAGAGTTACAGCACAGACACCAGGGCTATCTTCATTGGTAATTCCCACAGCATAAACAGGTAAGTACCAAAGGAAGTCCATAGACCGGAACATCAACTTACATTTGAAAATGTTGGAGACATGCAACAACTAATTGCCATTTCTCAGAAGAATCTGCATAGGCCCTTTGGGGAAATGGCCCAAACACATGATCATATATGAACCTGAAGATGCCTATAAACCTGCCAAACAATCCACATAAGTTCAGAAGAAGAAGTATTGGCAGAAAAAGAGAAAAACATGTTGAGGAAAATGTTAAAGTATGCGAATCATTACCTACGTCCTCTATCAGCTGCATCCCTTTCTTCAGCAATAAGAGCATTTAACAGATTTAGGAATGAGATTGTGGATGGGTAATGCTCACTTCTTGCTTCTACTTCATTTAACTCAAACCTCATATCATAAACCTGTTGGGGTCAAATCATTGCAACTCTTTCCATCACATATCAAACCAATGTAGTTGATGTTAATTTATCTACACGTTAATTTAAATCAACAGATCACACAGATCTGTGTGAGTCTCCACCAGAAGATCTGTTAACATGTAAAAGAAAGAAATAGAACTTCAAGAAATGCCTTTCCACAGCAACAACTCTTTTCAACCCAAAATAAGAGGATAAGAGACAGTACAGGTAAACATCCTAGTATAGTAGTATGTACAAAAAAAGAGTGTGATTTGTAGTCAAAAGTTCTTAGTCATCTTATAAATCATTAACTAGTTTTGGTAGATCATGCAAAACCAACCTGAGAGGCCATCATTTGTGTACCATGCCCAACTTGAGGTCCAACGACTACTGGTAAATCATACTGCTCAAGGAAACCCCAAATAGTGTCTTTCAAGTTTGGAGAAACATGAATGAAAGTTGATATCGAATTACGCAAAGCACCCTACAACGCAACATAAAACATGTGAAAAAAAGTGGTTAGCATTCAAATTCCAGAAGCGTCTTTGAACTTTCAAAGACCAGTAGAAAAACAAAACTCAGAAAGGCTTTACGGAAGATATCAGCAGATATGAACAGACCTTAAGATAAGGAGGCACATTTTCATAACTAAGAAGTTTAAATAACGGCTCAATATCAGGAAACCATGCCTTTCTTTCAATAGGGTTCCCATTCTCGACAACCTATCAACCAAGAGAAAGAGAACACTGCAGACCAGTTAGTAAAAGTTCATGCTCATAAGGCAGATAATTGTACCACTAATGGTAAGAAATATCGCAATGAACATTAGTTGGCATTATCTTTCACCACTCTAATATCCAAACCCTGTAAAAGGCAGTAATGCAAAACTAATGAAATGTTTCTTAGAAGATTCCCTAAAAAACATGACATGTGCCACCAATTGAAGAAAGACATGAGGAATAAAAAATTAAGTTAATGATAACATTACTAAGTGAAAAACTAGGTCATTTCATTGATATTACTAAGAGTGGATTTCATCCCATTGCCTACTTACAGGTCATCCAACTTTTTAGTAGAAGAACAATACTTGCTTTGTCGACAACTGGATCGACCAAAAACCCGCTTCAGGAGATGCCAGTAGCAAACACGGCATATCAACCTCAAAGCGGATAAAAAACGAGAGTAGGTTTATATTAATTATGGTTGTAAAATATCAATTTCTACATGAAAAGATTGAGTTTGAATGACCAAATTCGACCAACTATTACTGAAATATAACATAAAACAACAGAACACCTTTCGAAGAACAGATAGATAAGCAACAAGAGCTTTTGCATCTCCCTCTTGAAACTCCGGTAATATTGGCCCTGCACTTTGAAGGGATTGCTTGAACTTCTCCTCATAAATAGATAAGCAATCAAACAAAGTGCTCCAGGAAATAGAGCGAAACGTTCTGCCCTGCAGTAACTCGTACACTTTGGAAGCACCCTCCTCACTTGAAGCCTGAAAGTGGATAAGTCAAACAACTTGGAAACCACATCATTGATCATAAGAACTTTGTAGATACTAATAAGTCGGGTTACAGATACACCTACCAACGTACTAAGCATCTTCAAAAATGCCACAAGTGTCTGAAAATTAGTGTGATCCTCTCCAGCAAACTTTACAAATGTCCACAGGACATCATTGCCAGATAATAGTTCAGGTTCTTTCTGTGGTAAACATCAAGAAGTGTAAGGAGCACTGATCGAAAGCAATCTTTAAGTAAAACAATTATGAACTGAAATATAGGAACAGCTGGACACCTCAATGCATCCAAAGTCCTATGTAAACATCTCAATAGAAATGCAAAAGAAATTATATATCTTACAACCATTTTGCAGTATATATCATAAATAATTCAGCTGAACAAAATTTAAATAATGTTTTACTACATGTTCCCAGTGTCCTAAAAAAGTTCATGGCTAAAACAAATATACCAAGCACATGTATCATCTATGTAACATGAGATCTCTATTTTTTCCACCATAAAAACTACTGCCTATTAAGGCTGAGCGAGTATAAACACAGAACAACTGAACATATAAAGATGGAGACTTAAAGTGATATTTTCAGGTGAGCATAACCTGCTTGTATTAATATAAACGCTCCAAATCTATTCATGTGAACCTGTAAGTGAAAATACAAAGAAAAAGTATACTGACCTCATAGATTTCACTAACAAACTCCAGGAGAGAGACAAAAGTTTGGGGGGCAGATTCAGTAGTTTGCTGAGATTGCATGTTACCATCCAGAACATAATCATGTGAACCAGACATTTTGTACGGACTAAGAGCAGTCATAGCCTTCTCCTTTGTTTCTTTCACCTACCAACCATGTTAAAACCATCATATCAGGGCAAACATATTTAAACAGAAAAATGAGAAGTCCTGACCTGGGCAGAAAGACAATTTTATTACGACTCAAGCTCAAGATATTGTGTAGTATTGATGAATTATAAGATCACAATCAAAAGATATGTTGTACATGAGGGTGGCAAATTGCACATTTCACATCAAAACTTTCTTGATCCAACAACACCAATTTCAGTGTAGCAATGAAAATTCCATTTGAACCTTTAAAACTTATTAGACACTATGTAATGGAAGGGAGTGAGGGAATAACAATTAGCTAGCATGTGCCTTCTCCCATCCTGTGGACATGGTTGGTGCTAAAAGAGATCCAGACTAGCAAATATGTTTTGCTAAAATCCAGTCTAAGTGGCAATTCTGAACATGTAGCAATACATAGATTTAGGATACTACAGCTCAATTGAGCTTTAACCCCGTCACATGGATAGTAGTACTAAACTACTCGTATTAGGGTAGAAATTGTACTTGGTTCTCTTATGCACGTCGTTGCTTTAGTGGATGCATTATCAGTACTGCTGCATAACGGAATCGCTATATCTAATGTTACATCTGCAAAATCTATGATTCAATGAACTATATGTTTCCCTCCAGACAATCGTGTTCATTGTCCTCTTTATTTTTTGTGGAACCATAGTTGAGATGGCAACAAATTTAAACATGGAGATGCATTTATATTCTCAACTGATATTATTACAAATATGGAACAAACAGCTTATGGTTAATCAGAAAGTAAACCCATTCTGCAGCCCACACATTGAGAGGAGTGGCATTTTGGTATCATAAGGGTGCTTTCTGGAACATGGATCATGCAACGCAAATGTAAAAATCTGACGATGTAAAGTTGGTTTTCTATTAAATGAACCAACATAATCTTCTGGAATTCCGGTAATGGATTATGAAGAAATTAGATGGAGAGAACAATCTATTTTCGCCAGACTAATAAAATGTACAGAAACCAATGTAGATTCATGGCATCCACAAATACATGGTACAAACTACTACACATACCTGGTATACATAAAACACATATAAGAAGACATGACTGACCTTGTCCCTAGCAAGTGGATGAGACAGAAAGGATGTTATCAGCTTGTGCAAGTACGCATTATACATGTAGATCATATCCTCGTCATCATTCTGGAAACATATAACGACATGAAGTTACATTCAGTAGAGATACAGTGCATAAAAAATATTTCTAACAGGTTGCAGCATAGGAATGCAATAAAGACAAATGGAAGGTAAGTGAGGATCTTATGGAGTACAAGGAATTAAGAATAGATGTACACATGAAATATCAAATATTTAGAATATTCTGCACATTATGGTATTGGTAGTATTGTCATGAAAAGTTCCCTAACCTAATAAAACCAAACCAACCCAGTATTATCTATAACCTGAAATACACAGCAAACTTCACCAGTACCAATGACTAAAAGTTGAATTTCTGAAGTAAAAACAACTTTAGCATGACAACTAAATGTAGATGCCTAGACCAACCACCAGATAGCCAATGTCATATTCATCTAAAGCAGTGATCTTATAGTTTTTTTAAAGTAAGCCAAAACCAATAAATGAACAAGACAATATCAGATTCAAAAGCATGTAGTTGGGTTGCCTATAAATAGAACGATGACACTTGAATTGAAGCAATCATGGAACTTAAAGATCTAATCTACGTAATATTGAATATGCAGCTGCAGTGGATTATTGATACTCCTATTATAACAATAAGGGTCACAATCCACTACCCCCGTTTGCCTTCTGTTCTCAAAAATTCTAGTGGAGTTGTCCATGAGCAGCAGGAAACACAAACAAACCTAACTACCTTACACTAACTGATTGCTTTCATTCAAGTAATGCCCAACGCCAATATGCCTTTGTCCCAATCAGGCATCAGTTGTGAAGGGTAAAAATGAGTAACACCATAATGCATAAAAAATTTGAGAAAAGGAAAAATGATACAATTGATAATTTTCAGAGAAAAATTAATGTCAACATATAAATAGTAATAACAAAAGATCCATTAAACCAACCTTTTAAGGCTGACTACTAGTTAGATAGCTCGGCCAGGAAAATTAGCCCAAAAATCACTAAGATAGGCACCTGTAAAGCATATGCTAATACGCTTGTTAGGTTGTTAGTTTGTAACTAATCATTTAACAGAACTCTTACTATTTTTAGTAAACAGCAACTGCTTCTATCCATACACTCACCAATTTACCACTGCTCAGGTAATTCACTTGTATTACTTTCTTTGTCGACAACGAGAAAAGCTACTTACTAATAGTTTCTACCTATTTTCAATAAATTAACAGCTTAGCATGTTGACCACCTGGCATATTTACTCTGTTCTGCAAACTAAACTAGATAGCTTTCTCATCCTGCCTGCCAGTAAACCTATTGTCTTACTAGAGAACAAACCTTACTCCTGGAATTTTCTTTTTTAAACCTTAGTTGAACTATGAGGACATTTAGCAATGCATGCTACCTATGGACACCACGCTGGCATACTTTTATGTGGATAATCTTTGAATGAAATTTCCAGAACCAGCAGTCGCCATTACAGATGAAAGAATGAGTAAATTTGCATTACAATTGGACATGCTTAGGACCCTTTCCATGCAGAGATCGCTGGTTTTTATGCTAGCTCGCCAGGCCATACTCTCTCATGCTTTATCCTAGCTTATACTTCCAAATGAAATAGATTAACCCAGCTTGTACACCATTGACGCATGCACGCATAATTTGTTTTCCAAATTACCTGTTATATATTACCTATCTTATTGCCGGTTTGCACACACCTTGCATCGTGCACAAGCGGGGGTCTTTGCGGAAAGTGATGCAGATTTACATGAATCACATAACACAAAGTAGGTAATGACAAAAAGAAAGAAGGTTTCTAACTATGTCTTGTTTTAACTTTTAACTTTGTTCCTGAAGACTTCAAAATTTAAAAACCAAGCATTAAACACAAAAACAAACCTGATAGGCTGGTGTTCGAAGAACTGTGTTGAGCAAATACTGGAAAACGTTGCTCGAGAAAACAACTTCCAGGCACGAACTTATATTTCTCACATCATTAGTTGTCTCCCTTGCATCAGTTACATCTTGTATTATCATCAAGTGCACAGCCCATGCAAGTCTAACACAGTGCATACAGCCCTCAATCATCTGATCATTCCCAATAGCCATCACCTATTGGAAAAACACAGCTAACAGGTTCCAAATTATGGTCAAGAGTTATTAGTAGTAGAGAACAGAAAGGGTTTGCACTTACGGTTTCCTGGAAATCATGCCTAAATGAAACATCCTGTGCCAAGATAGACATCTTGTCTGGTGATGCACTCAGAGCATCTGATATCAATGAAATTATAAGAGAAAAAAGAAGACTGTACGTGATCTGCAAAAGATAAAGGTCCATCAGTTACTACGGCTGCCTAAGAAAGGATGTATAAAATAGAGTAGTGTTCTTGTACATGTAAGAGTAGAACATGAAAAGACTTGGTATTTCAGGTCAAATTATTCAAGTCAAGTCCAATGCACTATTTCTCCTCTTTCGTCACTAGAAATATATTGGAGCAGTTACACACATTTCCAATGGAGTATAACCTGGCTAGACAGAGGAGCAGTTTCCTTGTAAATAATACCACGCATAAATGTTTTTGGGAAGCCATTCCAAAATACTTTCACACAACAGGCTCCAACACCATAATCCCATTCCCAACAAGAAGAATGACATGAGAGAGGAAGAGAATTGAAATTAAGAACAAAACATACCTGGTTCTTTACAATGTCAGTACAGCCACCAATGTCCCCTGCACTATCTTTCAAAGTCGTAAAAACATCTTTTACTTCTTTTGGGCCTGTAAACAAAGCACTCCAGCAATTAAAAAATATGTTCGTTTAGGTGAAAAAACAACAGAACAATTCAAATCACTTATAATCTCACCTGTTTAGCTAACACAGTGATAAGATTTTTATCTTTCAATGGGATCAAAGCCTACAACATTTTAACACAATGCAAGGTAGAGATTCGGTAGCCAGGCCAATCATGTATGTCTTTGAGCATGCTTGAATTTGCATTTAGTCGGTACATCATGTATTCAATATACTCAGCATATGTTGGTATGACTCTTTTAAGGATAGATTACTGATGATTTTTCTATTTTTCTTCGATCTCTTCTTCCTTCACTTTTTTCTTTCGCTCAAATAAGTTACAATAATAACGGATTTGACCCTAAGAGGTCATGGGAGGTTTCCAAACCTGGATCCAACACTCACTATTTTCTAATATTCCTAATTGTATCCCCAACAAGCATTAGCTCTCCCTGAAAAGGAGGTGGTCCAGCCACACCTTCCAGTACAGCTACCTTGGAAGATGCATCTTGGGTTGACATATAGTGCAACTTGTCATCTATAAGCTCATCTTTGATCACAGTAATCAAACACTTGATCCTAACATTCACTATTCTCCTATCATCTTTATTCTTCAGAAACCAGAAAGCCACTACTTAGTACTTATGAAGTAAATGAGATATCCCAGGGAGCTGGCAACAATTACATATTGAACCTGCATTCAGTTCACAACTAAAAAAAGGGGCATCTAAAGTTGGTAGTCTTCAAGGCTGCAGCTACACTGCACAAAAAAACACATTGAGGAGCATCGGTAGTCTGCAAGGACCTATGGCACTTTATGTTGAACAAAGAGTGTGCATTACATGCTACTGTTACCCATTTTCAGTCCTCGTAGTGGGATTGTGAATCAGGTAAAGATATAACTTTTTAGACTTCAAAGTGCAGTCTTACAAAACTATTTAATTCTCAGTTCAGTGAGTGTTATGTCCTGCTTGGTTCTGTGCTATTTGTTTTGCTGACTGGCATTATCAATCTGATTATGTTGATGGACTGATACATCTCAATTACTCCACAGCAATAATAATAAACACATTAGTGTGAAAGATATGTACGTTAAACAGTGTAACTCAGAAGACGAATAGTGAAATGTTCATATCGAGGTAAAATGGATGGTGCATAAAAGAAAACTTTAACTTAAAGTGTCAACAAAGAATTAAAGACATCAAAACCAAGTAATCAAGAGAATGTAGGTTCAAAAGCATAACTATGATGGAAGATTATTCTTCTAAAGTACAAAAACATTTGGAAGCAATGACAGACATATAACATTAGATCAGCTACTGCTGCAAGTAACTTTAGGCTTCCACTGTAGAAATTTACCATATGTAGGACAACCATTTGATAAAGAACTTGAAATGCCTTTTTCAAGCAACTTGAAGATGTATATAACAAAAGAGAAAATCGAAAGCGTCGTTAAATAACTTACTTGCACGTACAACCAACAGCGATAGAACAAGACAGTGACCAAGAATGAGTCTCTCCCTGCAAACAACAGCTCGCCTTTCCACAAGAGCACCCCTAGGGTCGAGAATATAGCGCTCAGAATTAGGCCCACCAAGACCAGCTGGTTCTTCTCGATTTAGTTCCTAGAATTGAATACAAGCATCATGATCCACAGATATCAACCATGCACTAACTGAAACTGTAATCACGTCACCTATGTTAACAAAGTTTGTAAAGAGTTCATCGGGTTTTTCTTCTCCAAAAAATGAACTTGCCAACTGCTAAGACTAATTCTTGTTCGATTTTGGACCATGGCCATATGTTACCAGTTCCGGAGCCCACTTAGTAGGCCATCTTTGGCTGATCGATCTCAATATTATATTAATTTCAAGAAAAACAGAGAATATATTTTAATTGATACAACAAAAGGAAGATTAAGGCATAGAACAATAAACAGGCATTGGGGACAGGGGAAGAAGACAGAGAAAAGTAGAAAACAACAGAGGAAAGACCTCCAGGTCCAGTTTATATTGATAATGCAAAAACATAGTTATTTTGGTTAAAACACCCATCCTATATCAGCAACTCCCACGATAAAAAAATGATAAGGAATAAGAAGCTATCAAACTATTTAACAATGCCTCTACCCAAATTTAGTGTAGTAATTTTTCTTTTAAATTTAACCTTCTTATCAAAATACAAGTTCAGATTCCACTTTGCCTATATCATTTACAGAGGCCCATTGTCTTAGAAGAGATGCTTCATAAATGAGCAACAAATAACATTATCTAGCCCAATCAAATAGCGATGTAATTTGAAAAAACACAATCATTTAAGGGTTTTTTCTCTACATGATGTTTGTCATTTGCAATGCCGGAATTTGATCAGCAGCAGGGGAAGCATGTCAACCAACTATTTACAAATCTAAATCAAACTCAAATATGTTTAACGCCTGCCAAATCATGAACTAGAAACTTCCCTAACATATTGACAGGAGCTCATTATTTGAGAAAACAAGTTTCAACTCTATTGACAGCTATATAATACTACTCCATGGAGATCCTTGGCCAGTCGACCATGAAGAAAAATAATAAAAAAATACAATTTATATATGCACGATATGTTACATCTGCATAACAAAGCATCAACAGAATCATGACCATTTTCTTCCCCTGATGTGAAAACATGTTAAGAAGCTTAAGCTCTCAAACCATGGAACTTCACATAAAAGTGGAATGTCAAGCTTAATTGCTGGCATAGTCAAGAAAAGAGGAGAAAAAGAAGAGAAGGAATATCATAAGAAAAGAATAAGTTAAGTACATCCTTATGAAAACTTGGAAGTTTCTTGTGTTTGCCTTCTTCAAGAGAAACCACATAAAACCACGCAAGAATATTTCACCCAACAAACTCCACGGTTCTCACAACTATGGGGTAGAATGTTAAGTTTGAATTTCAAGTATTAAAATCACTCAATATCTGAATCAAGCTTTGGAAATCCATGCTAGATTTCATGACATTTTACCAAGACAAGCATGGAATTATCATCCTAGACATGATACAGATCCAGATTTTATCACCTTATAATAGAGATTTGCACTTGAAGCATTCACATGACACTTACTCTAATCCGAAGGCCAACCAAGTATGGATGTTAGAAGAAACCAAGTTGCAAAAAAAAATTGCTTACAAGGACATTACACTATGGGCTATGGCATATACAGCAGCCAGCAATGGGACATCTAAGATAAACTTAGCCTAAAATGAATCCAACCTTTTTCGCACAAAATGAAGTTTATTTTCTAGGGGACCGGTAACTTTAGTTTGACAAAACTCCTCCACAAAAGAGAAAGCACCGAGAAGAAATACATTGATTGGGGAGTGAATAGCAAAGTAGATGAGGCATAAAAGTATGTCAATATCTAGAATCTAATATATCACTTGTGTAGTCCACACTTCAACCTTGGAAATCTGCATAATTTGTGTTTTGTAAAAATGCTTAGGAGCCTGCGTTTCTGCCTAGTAACATCTACTCTTCGTATAGGCAACTAGTCAGATCTCAAGAATTAATCTAAAACGGGAGTTCTAAAGCAATGCGCACAAAAAAACTATAGGCAAAATGCAACGTGAGATAAAAATAACATAAGGACAGATAGATTACCTTTATTAGAGAAATCAGCCGTTGTCGAAGCCCATTATTAATTAGATCTTCAACATATTTTAAAATGTCAGCTAGAAGATCAGCCTCAAGTCCCTGATCAAGCACAATTGCCTACAATATGCAAATAATAACATAAATAATGACTGTTGTAATAGCAGGAAGATTCTCCAACCCCAGGACAAAAAAATAGATTGGTTGGAGCGAAATGGAAGACGAAAAGATACCCGTAACAGTGTATAAAGTGCTGTTATTAAATCTCTTCTCTCTGTATACCAAAGCCCCGCTGCAAGACGTAAAATGTCCAATGGCCCACGCCCAAGTAATCCCCACTACATGAAAGTGATGCATTTTTACCAATCAAATAAGAGAATCCAACTCAAGCAACACTGAATAACTAGATGATAAAAGAAGGTCTACCTCTTGATTGGCAGAAACAAGCAGTCGCACACAGTCTATCTCATTGAGATGGAGATCATCACTCAGCTTAAGAGCCTACAATTATATGTCGTTAAATCATGGGAACAACGGACTACTCGTGAAAAATCTGCCCCCGTCCAAAACAAAAAATATACATGTACACTCAACTTTTATGGTCAAATTGATGAATTGCTGGGTGGATTAGTTGAAGTTTCAGAAAAAACCAACCCACAAAGTTGATTTGTTTAAACTGTAACTAGATTCCCTTTTCCTGACTTCTACAATTTGACCATATAAGTCGTTTTCTTATCTACATGAAAGCTAAAAGGAGAGCAGCAATTGAAGTATGTAAACTAACAATTTGAACATCCTGATCGTCGAGTGGGATTGGTCCTGAATCAGGAAGCCTAACTTCTTTCGACTCAACTTGTGCTCTGTCAGAAGGCTTCGGAGGCTACATATGAATTTTAAAACAAAACTTCATAATTATGAACAGAAAAAAGAAAAGACTTATGAATTACATGTCTGACATGATATGAACCAATAAACATATATTCCCCTGAAGATAAACTACATGGTTAACTAAATCAATCTACCTCTTCATTCATAATGTGACACGTAAATGTATATACAAGCACTTAAGGTAAAATATACATGAAATTTCAGCTTCCCTCTTTCTATATCTGTTTTTTACTATAAACTCTCTAATAACAGCATAGGATGAGAATTGCTCTTTTTGCTAATTGGATTCCGAATATCAGTTCAATATCTAACAAAAGAAATGAAAGTTTTGCTTATGCTAAATAGAAACCCATAAAATTGAGTTTGGCTAATACTACTCTTCCCCTTTCCAAGATTAAAAAAGAAAACCTAATTTTATATTTATGTAAATTCCAGTCATCATCAAATGTAAAATAGATGCGGATTCTTTTACAAATTCAACATCAAGATGATACTGTCCGTGGCAATTGCTACAAACTCAATAGAGCTACCAAGTTTCTTCTCTAGAGCACTTAAAACCGATATCAATTTTTCATGATGTTGTACATTCAACATGTACCTCCTTTGCCAAAAGGGAGTGAGTGTCAATCAAGCTAGGATAAAACCGAAATAGTACAACTAAAAATTCAACAGATGTTCGTACCGGAAATGACAGGAGAGACTTGAGAGATGGAAGGGAGTGACGAATAGCATGAATGAGCTCAATCCTCTGCGACGGCGATGGAGGAGTGGAGCCTAAGAGTGTAGACTCGATGATAGAGAGCAGTTGCTTAGCTGACACCATCGCCGATTCCGGCGCCGTCGAAGAGGAAGCCTTGGACAGAAATAGAAAGGCGGGAAATTGCCCTAGTTTGATTCAGCCGGAGGGTTTTGGGTTTCGACGCCTTTGGCGGTGGTGGTTTAGGAGCGTTTTCTCCGTTTAAAACAAAAAACAAGAAAATAATTGCAACAAGTTTTCGAATATTGAAAATTAATTTTTTATATAAATTTGTAAAAATAATTCCTTAATTTTTGTGTACATTTGATTTATATAATTTTTTCAATAAACTTGTTATTTTCATGATAAATACTACATACTATTTTTTTTCTTTGATGGAAGGTAATGGTCAATTTTATTGTAAAGTCGTATGCAATGCATAAAGATGTCCATACGATTGTTCGATTCTATCTTTTTTCTTGTTATTCTTTTATCTTTCTTTTATCTTCCCCATGCGGAATAGAGAAATCTTTTATTATCTTATACCATCAGGGTAATGATTCATCAACCTGCTGGTTCTTTTTTTGAAATAGCAACGGGAGAATTCATCCTAGAAGTGGGATAACTGCTAAAACTACGTGAAACCCTGACAAGGGTTCTTTTCTTTCTAAGAAGTGGAATAGAATAACCCGGTTGAAACGTAATGATCATACGTCTGTAATGCATTGTCTGTCCCATAATGGGTCCCATTCTTCTAGCCTTTCATCGAAGTCGATGGCTATTCATCGTGATTACCTTGACACCAAATAAGAGTTCAACACAATGCTTTATTTATGTCCTACGAGCACTGTGGAAATACATGCCACTCTACCAAAGGAAGATGTTGGAGAGTTGGCTGAAATGCGCACTAAATACTTTTCGAGAAATCTCTTCCAAATCATTGGTATAGCTATCGAAATCGTGAGCATCAGCATGTAGGTTCCAGATCCAAGTGATAGTTTCAGGGCCTTTTAGCTATTGTCTTGAGAAATGACCCGGTCTAGCCCATTCCTTGGATGAAGTTTTTATGTGATCCCTATCTCCCAATATTTTCACTTCTGGTTCCGACGAACGAATAATTATAGTGTTTGCTTGACCTTTTATAAGCGGTGTCAGAATAAAGCGCCCATAAAAAAGACACTTATTGACTGTTGATGATTCAACACACTGCCACTGTACTGTCTAAGTAGATACTGTTATTGTCTCTCGAACCATAGTAATATTATTTGATCAGATCATTGAATCATTTATTTTTCTTGTTTCTCTTGCTGTTGAAATATCTTCAATTTTTATTTCTACACATGTCTTTTTTTTCAGGGTTCTCTCTTTAGCCTTATGTCTCTTATCCCTAGGAGATATTTCTCCACTAACAGGTTTTTTCGAAAAACTCTATTTATTCTGGTGTGGATGGCAAGCAGACATGTATTTCTTGGTCTTAATAGGACTCCTTACAAACGTTGTTTCTATATATCCACCATGTTAGAAGATCATAACATGAGTGATTCGGCAGATTTTGATTCCTATATATCCACCCATGTGGTACTTCATTATACCATATATATCCATCTGTATAGATATCACCATCTACATCCAGAAAGTCGTATGCTTTGGAAGAACCTTGTACAATTTGGGAAGGGGGTTTTGATTGATAAAAAATAAGAATATACTTCAACCGATATGCCTTTAGGCACGACCATACATAACATATAAATCACACTTGGAAAGGGTAGACAATTAGCTAGAGCAGCGGATGCTGTAGCGAAACTGATTGCAAAAGAAGGGAAATCAGCCACATTAAAATTACCTTATGGGGAGGTCCGTTTGATATCCAAAAACTGTTCAGCAACAGTCAGACAAGTGGGGAATGTTGGGGTGGACCAGAAAAGTTTGGGTAAGGCCGGAGCCGGATCTAAGCGTTGTCTATGTAAGCGCATTGTAGTAAGAGGAGTAGTTATGAACCCTGTAGACCATCCATATGGGGGTGGTGAAGAACGGGCCCCGATTGGTAGAAAATCAAAAAATCACTCGTCACTGTTCAAAGGAGTAGTAATAGGTAGGGATGACAGGATTTGAACCCATGTCATTTTGTACCCAAAACAAACGCGCTACTAAGCTGCGCTACATCATTTCCATTGGTCTACAGTATCACTGTAGAGAATTCGTGTCTTGTTTTCCACATCGTTATCACCTTTATTAAAATCTATAATTTTTATGTCCATTTCGGCAATAACGAACCAAGCTAGTATTTACAGTGGATCCCCCTGTTAGGTAGTCATGTATTATGATAGGAACTCCCAATTCTCTGGCAAATATAGCCCTTTTCATCATTTCTTCGCATGTACCCGCAGTAGCATTCAAGTAATGCCCTTTGATTTCACCTGTTTCAGCTTGTGCTTTATAAATAGCTTCAACACAAAATAAGAAACGGTCTCTCCAACGCAATTATCTATTAAGAAATTAGAAAAAGAAATATGGGTAAATTAATATATAGCATCTATATATATATCTAAGGGGGTGTTTGGGATTACTTATAAAACAACTTATTAACTTATTCCGATGCGACACCGGTAATAAGCACCTTTGAGTATTTTCATAAACAACTTATATTGTGTCAAATCGGTAATAAGAAATTTTTAAAGAAGTTAAAATTATTCTAACTTATAATAAGTTGATAAACAATTTATAGAAAAACACAAGTTATTTCAAACAACCAATCCTAAACACCCACTAAAAACAAAACCTATATTTGCTTAGGTGGTATAATGAGAATGTATCATTCATGTTTTTCTATTTTATTATGATTTTGATTTTTTTTTTATAAATAAAAGTGTTCTCATTAAATAATTGTGACTTTTCATTTAACCTCTCATTTTTTTATATCATTTTTATTTACACAACATAAGTACATCCACAAATATAATTTATATCTATCTTACATTTTTTTGAATTTAATCAGACATTTTATTTAATGAATCCAACAATATTTTAATTAAATTTATAGGATTATAATTTTTATTTTTATTATTTAGTATTAGAGATGGCCAAATGGGCTCGGTCCGGCCCGTAATGCCGGAGGACCAGAACCGGGACCGGAGAGGGACCAGTATGAACCGGTTGTGGACCGCCGGTTATGGATTTTAACGTTTTATAGGACCGAGACCGGTTAAGACCGGAACCGGTTATGTAACCGGTTATAGGACCGGCCCGGCCTAGTCAACAAAAGTCAACGTGTATATATATAACAAAACGTATTTATAAAATTAAACGTATATATATACATATATATATAACAAAACATATTTTTAAACGTATTTATAAAATTAAACGTATATATATATAACAAAACATATTTTTAAACGTATTTATAAAATTAAACGTATATATATATAACAAAACATATTTTTAAACGTATTTATATAAAACATATTAAAAATAACATATTACAAACATATTAATAACATATTAAAATTTTATTAATAAACAAAAATTTGAAAAAAAATATTTTTTTTGGCCGGGACCGGTTATGGGACCAGATTCCTTAACCGGTTACCGGTAAGCTTGACCGGTTACAAGGTATTTCACCGGAACCGGGACCGGTTATGGCAGGACCGGTTACCGCCGATTTTTGTCTTGATTAGGACCGGTCCGGGACCAGATTTTGGCCGTCTCTACTTAGTATATAAGCAAAAATCTCTCTATATATAAACATATATAAGCAAAAAAGCAAACACCATGACGTAGCAGTCTCAGTTGCTTCCTATTTTTTCAATGCATAGAGAAAAGTTTTAGAAAATTATTTTTTTATTTAGTTTACCTCTTTTTGCTAATTTTCATTAATTAACTATTTATAAATTACATTTAATTGTAAAACCCTTCGTCTATTAAAATTAATATGTATAAAAAAAGACGATAAAAATAATATATATATACATACATACACACACATATATATAGAATAACCCTTATTTTTGAATTTAATTTTATATTAATATTATAAAACTTACTAACTATCTTAGTAATTACATTTGATACCTTTATAATTACAGATTAAATAATTAATAATAAGAATATAAAATGTAAGCTTTAAAAATAATTGGTACACATTTATGATATTTAATAATATAAGATAAATCCAAAAATCTCATTTTAAACGTATGAACGAGACGATTATAATAGTCTAATTTATAAAAATAAAAACACATTTTTTATATATTTTCATTAATATACGATTTTGTGTGTTAATATAATAAATGTTTAAAAATGAAAAAAGTAAAAGATATGAAGTAAATTAAATAACTAATTATAAAATGTAAAATGTAAATTTTTTTGCCTGAAAACAAACTTTACACAAAAACTACCATTCCACGTAAATTTTTATCGTAAACTTTGGCTATTTAAGAAAAGGGAAAAGTCTAAAAAAACCCAATGGACTTTAATGTTTGGAATGATTAAGTCTTTGGACAATTTTTTGGAACAAATAAGTCATTGGACATTCCAAAACCTGTTAAACAACTCCTTGGACTTTCTAAAACTTGTTATATACATTCTTATGACATATAAAACTAAAAGAAAAGTCTAAAAAACCCAATAGACTTTAGTGTTTGAAATGATTAAGTCCTTGGACAATTTTTTAGAACAAATAAGTCATTGGACATTCCAAAACCTGTTAAACAACTCTTTGGATTTTTAAAACTTGTTATATACTTTCTTATGACCTATAAAACTAATTAACGTAGTAAAATAATTGAAAAAGCATGAAAAAACCCAATGAACATTCATATTTTGAGCGATAAAGTCCCTAAACATTTTTTGACCAAAAAAATACTTACATTATATAAAATAAAACAAATATACCAAAAGAATACTTACATTTAAAAAAGATTATTGATAAATTTTATTTTAATTAAAAACAAAAGATATTTTAAAAAAATAAAAAAACATTTAAAAAAGATTGCTGATTTAAATGACTACCGATGAAATTATTTTCATTAAAAATAAAAATATATTTTATTTTTAATTAAAATAAATTTCATCAGTAATAATTTTTAATTTGAAAAGTCATATACGGAATATATTTTATTTTTAATTAAAATAAATTTAATCAGTAATTCTTTTTTAAAAAAATTTGGTTTGAAAAATTACTGACAAAATATATTTTATTTTAATTAAAATAAATTTTATCAAAAATCTTTTTCAAATGTAATTATTTTTTTGTTATATTTGTTTGATTTTATAGATCTAAATATTTTTTTGGTTCAAAAGATGTTTAGAAAATTAATCGTTCAAAATATGAATGTTCATTGAGTTTTTTTCCAGACTTTTTCCAATATTTTTCCACATTAATCAGTTGTATAGGTCATAAGGATGTAACTAACATGTTTTAGAAAATCCAGTGAGTTATTTAACATGTTTTAGAATGTTCAAAGATTTATTTGTTCTAAAACATTGTCCAAGGACTTAATCATTCCAAACACTAAAGTCCATTGGGTTTTTTTAGACTTTATACTTAGGGGGCGTTTGGTTCGTCGGAATCTGCTGGAATCTGGTGGAATTGTAATGGTCAATTTCGTTGACCAAATTCCATTCCAACGTTTGGTTACCCATGGAATGAAATTGAATTCCAAACATTCCCTCATTTGAGGATTTCATCATTCCTTCAAAAAAGTGATGGAATTGAAATCCATTCCATCCAAAATTGTGTAAATGACAAAAATACCCTCTTCCAGTTCCATCATCTGCTTAACGATTTATGCTTGCTTCCCGTTTCTTCTTATTAATTATTGTTGTTGCTTAACGATTTATGCTTATCTGTTGCTTCCAGTTTCTGCTTAACGATTTCTGCTTGCTTCCCGTTTCTGCTTGTTGATTACTGCTGCTGCTTCCAATTTCTTCTTAACGATTTCTGCTTATTTGTTGCTTCCAGTTTCTGCTTAACGGTTAAAAAAAATCAAAGGGAGAGTATTTTTGTCCTTTTTCATCATTCCATTCTAACTCTGTTGCAAACTAAACAAGCAAATTCCAATTCATTAAACATATTTCATTACATTCCTGCCAACCAAACACTTGGTCAAACCTGATAACATTCCATTCAAATTTCTTTGACAGATTTCATTCCGCAAACCAAACATCCCTTAAGAAAAAGAGTTTCAGTCACTAAAAAAGTGAAATAAAATTTTGATGATGTCAGCAATTTATTTTTGTTTCTAGATGAGAAAATTGAATAAGCAAAAGAAGTATGTTAATACATACCCACATAGGGTATTGTCTGTTTGATTAAGACCAGTAGAAAAAAACATCCTAATAACTCATAACAAAAATCATACCAAAAGGCTTGAATTCAGACCAAATTAATGCCAAAAATCTTTAATTAAGAACTTGACTCATTCTTCCTTGATGCATCATCTCCTAATCTACTCTCCTCCAAAAGCTTCCCACCCTCTTCACCTGGCTTCTTCTCAGCCTCTTTAGCCTTAAGAGCCTGCAACTTTGCATGGTTATAATAAGCCACACCCAAGAACGCTATCCCGTAACCAAACAGATTAATCGGGGTTACGGTATCCTTAATCACCGACCACGAAAACGCGATCAACAACCAATCCTTAACGACGCCCGCCACGTTCATCGTCAAAGCCGAAGTCTTCCCCACCAGCAAAAACACAGCTAGATTCAACGCGAAAGCGCAAAAGGAATTAGTCCCGAAAACCACGTAGTCGAAATGGAAGCTAGACGAGTCGCGCAGCTCAGGAAGCTCCACGACGATCCAAGGAACCGACAAGAAAACGAAACAACAAGGTGCGACGTAGTAAAGAGACGTTATCGGATTAAACGTGATCCCTTTCGACGTCAACAAGATCTGAATCAAAACCAACCGTGTAGCCTCGAAAACAACCGCGCCCAGCTGCAACGCAACACCCCAAGCACTAAACTTGGCCTCGCCGTACGCCGCGATCGCAACCCCGAACGAAATCGACAGCATATTGGTCATGGTTTGTGTTTTGAAAGCTTCTTTTTTGAATAGAACTCCGATGAAAAACACAGCAGCAGGCATTAGGGCTTTTAACATTTGAATGAAGGAGACAGAGAGATAAATGTAAGCCGAATTGGAAAGCCATAAACTGATGGAGTAAAGCAAACCGATTGGGACGACGGATTTGAGGTAAACGTCTCGGGTCATTTGAACGGGTTCAACGACTTGGAGGATGCTAACGAGAATGTAAGCTAACGAAGAACAGAACCCCATATGGATCATGGTGAGCGAGATCGGAAACGGCCAGTTGTACATTTTCCGATCGAGGATGTATTTGTTGTAGACGATGACGGTGAAGCTGAGGAAGATCCAGATGGCGACGTAGGTGTAGGAGAGGATGATGTTTCGTAATACGCCTTCGCTCAAAGCTCCACCTTTCCCCATGGTTGGATTTGGGGGTGAATTTGATCGATGGAATGATGAATCTGGAGATAGGTTTTTTTGTGATGATCGATTTGGGGGAGTTTGAGTCTGTGTTTATGGAAGAGAAACGCGGAGAAGCGTTGCGTTTCGTTTCGTTTTGATGCAAATAATAATGCGGAAAGTGGAATTTGTCGGTTTCTAGTTAAGGATTCAAGACCAAGATTTCATTGATTATTTTTATTTATTACTTTTTTAATTCTAATAATTGATGTTTGACCAGTTAATATATTCGATCCCAATTAAGCGGAAATTAGATCTAAATAAAACTCACTTGAAGCGTACTCGTTCAATATAACGATGTATTCCGATTTTAATATGCTTTGAATATTTTTTTTATTAACCTGAATATTCAACTCGTTATGCGAGCCGATTAATCCCAGGACGACCACCTGCTTTACAGATAGTATGGAGTCACCGCATTTGAACCTTCGTGACCACAAGGGGATTTTTATCTTTCCTTAGATTTGAACATGAGACCTCCTGTTACTTTTGATCTTTGAAATCAAACTCAAACCAATAAAGCACCACTCTTGTGGTTTATTGTTTGAATAATTAGATTCAAGATCTGACAATATTTTTATTAATTGTTTGAATAATCATTGTTTTTAACTTACTTTATATATATTTTTTTTATTTTGTTATTATTTTAATTAATTGTGGTTTGACTATATATTAATAATTTCATGTTAATCGTACTTAATTTTCGATACTTTGTTTGCAGATTCTAATTCACAAGCCAAAAGATATGTGAACTTTTCCTAATTTCTTTGTTTCTCTAAACTTGAATTCTTCTATCGCAAAAGTAACGACGTTAATCACATTAAATTTTAGAGCTAATTACACTTTTAGTCCCTATAGTTTATTCAAATGCTGGTTAGTTTTTTCATAATGGTTGCTATTTAACGATGTTAACTCCACGGATCGTAAGTGTTATGAAATTTAAAAGTTAGGGACAATCGGTGTAATTCACTCTTAAAAATATGAATAAGTCTAAAAACGTGTATTTTTAAGACTGGTTATGTACCCACGCAATACGGCGGAAGCGGTGAATTTTAACGATTTTGAAGTTTCACTGGTTTTATTAGAGAAGATTTAACGATGATATAAGTTACACTTAATCTTTACATATTAATACAATTGGAATAAATAAGAGTTAAGGTTCCAATTACAGTCTATCGATGAAAAAAATTGTATAACAAATTAAAATCCAATATATTTAAAATTGAACATATTTAAACGACTCCACAAATGTGTTCGACTTACACCAAGAGCAAAAAATCAAAAGATCGAAAGTGAGACCGAGAGTTCTAGAGCAATTAAACGAGAGATAAATGAATAATTCATGGTGAATATCATTTTGAATCTCGCATTGGAGGATGAGGAGAAGACATGGAGGTATGAGAGGGCGAAAACATGAGTGAAATATGTCAAAAGTATATTGGGAACATGAAAAGAAAAAATAATAATGTGCATTGGTAATTTATATTATATGATATTTTAGTTGTAGATTAAAAGATTTTAAGACTAAATGCATAAACTAATATTCTCTAAAACCATTTTCTTCCTTTTTATTTTATGTTGCAAAAAATGGGGTTTTGAGGCCCATTAGTCCTACCCAATGGACAAGCTTAGCCCTTTTCTCAAGAGGGGTGCCGGGTGATCGTGATAGTGATAAGGGTAACTTATAAGATTGTAATGAAAAACTTAACAACTTTGGCTCTTTTGTTACAATTTCTTTTTGTATACCATTTAAAAGTTTTTTAAGAGGTGTCGATGTCTGAAGTTTTATTTCACTTCTGATTAATAAGAGGTGGTGCTAAAGTATGAAATCTGAATCAATAAGACTGTTTATTTTATAAACTGTCAAACTTCTGAAGTCTGAAATCTTAATCAATAGTTTGTTTTGAAAAATCAGGGGCAAATATTTGGCAAAATTCTATTGATTTTCATAAAATTTTCATTGCCGAAATTTATCTCAACAATTGCTTAACGGATGGAACACGGCAAGAACCTTTTGGATACCTTTTAGACTTCCGATGCTAGCAGGAATGCTGCCAGGTTTTTTGCGGAAAGATTGATACTTTTGATAAATAATGTATCGCCGATAGAAGTTCTTGTTTCACATTAATCTTCTAAGTTAACCTATATGTACATAAATTATATATCTATATTTATAATAAATAAGTAACTTGGGTGACACGTGTCATCTTCTGGTGAGCCAATTTTCTTGTTTCCCTCCAAACACGATTCTAGACACAATTTACATTAGTGGTTCAAACGTATTTAGACACAATTTACATTAACAACTCAGTTATACTCATTTGAATGACATGTGTTCTCTTATCCAATCAATCCCACTAATTTAGGGTTCAATTGGTTTTATTCTTGGGTCAATTAATTTGTGTGGTAACTGATTCCCAAAAAAAATGTTGTTTACTTCTAAGTTTAAATTCAATTTACTGATATAGTTTCATTTCTAAATTTAATTTTTTTCTAGGGTTAACTTCATTTTATTTTATATTCAATTTACCGATATAGTTTCATGTATGAAGTTTGCTTTTTCAGACATAGCTCACCCGAACTTTGGAGTCTGAACTTTGAAGTCTTTTTTTTTTTTCCAGACATAGAAGTCTGAACTCTGAAATCTTTTTTTAAAACTTAGAAAAAGAAGTCTGAACTCTGAAGTCTTCTACAAGTCTAAAGATTCATTATTTAGAGTTAGCTCACCCGAATTCTAAAGTCTACTTTTTCATACTTAGCTCACTCGAACTCTGAAGTCTTTTTTTTCCAAACATAGAAGTCTGAACTCTGATTTAGTTTGATTGATTTTATACTTCAGAGTTATTTCAAGAGTACAAATATGAAGTGTCATTCTTCAGAGTTTTAATTAAGAGTTATTTCCAGAGTACAAGTTTGAAAAGTCATTCTTCATAGTTACCTCACCCGAACTCTGAAATCTTCTTTTCCAGGCGGAGCACCATGCAGGGCCTCTGCATAGTGCATGCAGAGCTTCTGACTTGCATATACAAAGCTCTGAAGTCTGAAGAGTTTTACTTCAAAGTTATTTCAAAAGTACAAGTCTGAAGTCATTATTCAGAGTTATACTTCAGAGTTATTTCAAAAGTACAAGTCTGAAAAGTCATTATAAATTATTTCTAAGTTTAAATTCAATTTACTGATATAATTTCATTTTTAAATTTAATTTTATTCTAGGGTTAACTTCATTTTAACTAATTATTGATATAGTTTCAATTCTAAATTCAAGTTTGAAGAGTCATATTTCAGAGTTATTCTTTAAAGTTATTTCAAAAGTACAAGTTTGAAGTAGCATCGTACTTTCGATGATCATAGATAAGTTCCTGACATGATTTAGTTTTTTCAAGTTACACCGTGTAATACACGGGATCGAACCTAGTGTGTGTGTGTGTATATATATATATATATATAGAGAGAGAGAGAGAGAGAGAGAGAGAGAAGATGACGGTCTGTATTTCACATGGGTGATGAAGAACAGTGACGTCCTTGAAGAAAGAAGCAATAGCCAAAGATAATTAAAAAGAGGGAGATAAGAGGAATTAAAATATTAGTTTACCAATTATTTATTTAGACCTTATTAAGTGATAAGAGATTCTGGAGAAAAAAAAAACAGTCTGAATTACAAAACGTCTGAACGAATCAGACATAAGTTAAGAGTTAAAAATGAAAAAAAAAAAAAAAAAAAACAAGACCTAAGTATCTAATTTCTATATAGACTTGAATTACTTTATCTCCTGTAAGGTGGAATAATAAGATATTGTTGGACCAGTAATACTTTAATAGATTTCTTTGTTTGATGGCAAACAAAACCATACATAGTCGATTGGGTGTGTTTGTATATTCATCATGTCATATGTTATCCTATCCTAATATTCTCATTTAGAAAAATAGCATCTGACAAAACCGGTCATTGTATTTCTTGTTTCAATATACTTCATCCACTAAGAAATATCAATTGGTCATGTGACTTAAAGATCGTTGTATGTTCTTCTTGTATATTTATATATGATGGGCGTTTTTCAACTTTAACTAAAGATTTCAATAAAAGTTCTCAAATTTTGAGTAGGAATTTGGAATTGCAATAAAATAAGATTACTGCAAATGTTAAATAAACGAAGTAAAAAGGATAAAAATACCCGTAAATGATAAACAAGCATAACAAATGACCATCTTAACATGTTTATATCAAACGAAACCTTTGATAATTATGTATACCGAAGATTGACCGTAAGTCAAGTAATGTCAGGTTAAAGTATGTTTCAATAAACGTGAGATTTCTTGCCCGTATCTATTGCCGAATTTACTTTGAAGTAAGAAAAGTTCTTCAAAATAAATAATGAACGTATTTCACGTCACATCGAAAGTGATTAGTTAGAATTACAATTTAGGTCTCAAATTATGATCAGACTTTAACATTAAAAACAGTCATAAAATCATCATATAAGACGAAAGGATTCTAAATTCAGTTTATTTGATAATATTATATTTATATACGTGACAAAATGAATAGATAGGAAGAATTAAATAATGTCTATTTTTTAATTTAATGAATAATTATTTAAACTTATTTTTTGTAAATAAAACAACCAAAAATGCTATAATAATTTGAATAACATCAAACAGGTTTTTTTTTGCAATTTTTTTACGTTTTTTATTCGATTTGAAAATATGTGACGTAACAACAATTAACTCTTAAACACAAAAAAAAAAAAAAAGTAAATTACAGATTTAGTCCCTAAAGTTTGTCATTTATTATAGAATTGGTTTTTTTGTCTTCATTTATTACAAATCAATCCTTCATTTTTGCAATTTATCTTGGAGCTAGTCTCTTATCCTAACGTCCATTCGATCTCTCTTTTAACTACAAGGGTAAATTAGTCTTTTGCCATTTTTTCTTAGTTTTTTGTAGTTATATATTTTCCCCT